CAGACTCAAGACCTCATCTATGGGATCCACCCCACTTCAACAATCCTGTGTTGAAAGAAAGTGAAAAGGCTAAAGACCTCCAGTGAGCACTAGAATTCTCAGGGACTTGAATTTGGTTTCCTTGATCCAAATCAAACACTTTAATCCCTCTATAATACATTGGATAGCATCTGCAGGGATTTCAGATGCATTTGTCTTGGAGTTTGAATTGAAGCTGGCTATGTTCTTTATTTAATTTTGGAAGCTAAATCAATTATGCTTTTATATTATATACATGATTGGGCTTGTTGAAAAGAGGGTTGTATTCTGGTTTAGGCAAATATATACTTAGTCTAACTGAGGAAGGAATTTTCTCCTTGTAGTCATAACGTGCTATTACATATTGTAGGGAGCAATGGTAAACTACTTCTGAAAAAGCTTGCCAAGAAAACTGCAGGACTTGTCCAGGCAGCCTCTGAGTATCGGATGTTATTGAATGGAAGAAAAAAAATGTAACTAATAACATATAACAGCCGTTTAGAAATGACACAATATTAGATAATCAGCAAGGAACAAAATATCTTACACTTAGGGCATTCAGGCCATTTAAATAGGACCAAACAAAACCAACAACAAATTGTATTACTGCATATTGGCAAAGTGTAATCAAAATGTAATACCAATAATATTAATTGGGGAATCTCATATTGGCCTTATATTTAATTGACTTAAAATTTTAAGAGAAAAGTTTAAAAAAATAGTTGTGGGATTCAAAAATATTCTGTTACTTTTCTGCTTTTTGCAGTGTGGTTTGTGTAGATTAGTGCAAATTAAATAAAAATATTTTTGAGTTGTTTTTATCTAAGTCAAGGAAAGAAAAAAAATGACTTGTGCTTCCATTATCTGGCGGATGAATTCCAAGTTAAAACAAAACAAATGTTGTTTGTCTTAATTATGCCCTGTAAAGTCTAAAAATAGCAGATGTTGTAGAAGAAAATTAAGTCAACACTGAGAAGTGTAGTTGCTTTTTAAGTTAGCTTATCTCTCTAGTAGCTTTTCAACTTCTCATATCTCTATTTTAAACTGCATACAGTTTTTATGGAAGCTACTGTAGTCAACAAACAGCAAAGGGAATATCCACTCTTCATATCCTTGGACAGTTCACTACTAAAATATCCTCCAGTTTATCTGTCAACTTATGGCTGATAACAACATTTCCAAAAATATTTTGGAATCTTTTGCTCATGGAAGAGGGAGTTACAATAAGAGACTAGGATTTTTTGAACCAGTATACTTCCTGTAGTAAAACATTTTCCATCTTATCCATGTTAAGTTTCATTTTATTCTCTGACAAACCGTTTCTCAGAGCAGACGTTATAGAGATATCCAATCTTGAATTCCTCTGAAAGAGAAGTATACCTGAATATCATCAGCATATCCATATCTATAGTTGTACATAGGCAAATGATAAATTTTCCTTAGTCATATAATATATGCTTTAGAACAGGGGTGTCAAACTCAAGGCCTGGGGGCTGGATCCAGCCTGCGGGGTACTTAGAACTGGGCCGCGGGGCCGTCCTGGAAACAGCGAAGGACCGGCTGACGGTGCTTCTGCTAGCGAAAATGGGCTCCTAAGCTCTGTTTTCGGTTGCCACGGCCTCCTACAACCCTCTCCCAGTGAAAATGGAGCTCAGGAGGGCCCTCCTGAATTCAGGAGGTGCCCCTGACATGAATGATGTCAAGCTGGCCATGGCCACTCTGGCCACGCCCACCCCAGCCCCCCGAGTTCAGACACAACCCTGATGCTGCCCTCAATGAAATCAAGTTTGACACCTTGCAGGACCCCCACAATATAATTCCTAATAATCAAATAAAAGTCTCTCAAGTACAGTAGCATCTTCTGGTAGCACCCAGGATGGAGGAGCAGAGCTGTCAACGTAGCTCCCTCAAGCACGTCAACAATGCCCAGCAGTTGTTAAAATCAGCCAGATCCAGTGATAGTATAAAATAAGCTTCTGACAGGGATCCAACTTACAAGTAGTGGAACAAACAGATGCAGGAATCTTCCTTGGGAGATATATCTCAGAACTGCCTCATGACTATTATTAAATGGTCCAATGGATAACCTAATAAATTTAAATTTCATGAGGTTTGAATATCTTCTTAACATAATACCCTGGAAAAAGACAGAGCACCCTTGCCCTTGTTACTTCCTAAACAAACAACTGAAAAAATAAACTCCTTGGTGTTCTCCTTGTGGTAGCAATTCCAGAGGTCATCCCTACTGCCTGTTTTAGGACTGAACTAAATACCTCACCTAACTCTTCCAATGTTCTTTAAATTCAAAATATCTTCAGGTTATTTTCTTACGTACAGTACTGTAGGTCTCAGATGCAGTGCTAATTACAGCTGATTGTAAAACTGCAAAAAGAGAGTGAGAGAGGGAGGGAGGGAGTGAGAGAGAGAGGGAGAGAGAGATGAGTGCTTTCATAGCTTTTGGGGGCAGTGTGTGTATTTGTGTGTGTATGTTAAAGCTTATGCTAAATATCATATTGATCCTAAAGCTTCCAACTCAGGTTGCAAGAATGTCTGGAGGAGAGCTATCTGTCTTCAGTGCAGTCTAGGCTGATGATAGTAGTTTTAGCTGTTGCAGCTGTTAATGCTATTCATTAATAGTGCTAACAGAAGTTGTGGAGGACTTTAGACAGCCATTTGTCTGAAATGGTATGGGGTTTCCTGCCTGAGCAGGGAGTTGGACTAGAAGACCTTCATGGTCCCTTCCATGTTTTTTTTTATTCTGTTGTTCTGTTAAATTTAGATGCCACTTTAATATTTGACAAGAGAACACTGTAGGCATTCCATCGTTCCAACAATAACGTGCAATTGCTTCTTTCTTTAAGCCGTAGAATGGTTTTATTCTTTTACAAGCAGTACCTGAGGGGATGCTGGTTCAGGATTTTCAAGCCTAATAAATCCTTGGGATGAACAATTCGGTACAGATGGTGAATATACTATTCAAAGTATATTAAGGTGAATAGTTAATAACTTTTCACCCAAACTTTCCATTTTAAGAGTTGAACATTGGCTTTCTCTTGATGCCAGGCTCATGATTAGAAAATTGCTCTGAGCAATCTCCAGCAGAAAAGAATTGGGTGATGCTTCCCCCCCCCTTGTTTTTTGAAAATGTATGTTTCCCATTTGGATTTTCTGAATATATCCTACTGATATTAGTAGCAAACAAGTAACACCAAAATAGGGTCTCTATGCAGCTCTGATAATATTCAGATAGGCAGATTTTCAGAAAATCTATAAGGGAGCAAAACTTTTTTATAGACCTATAATATAAATCAGCTTTGTCCAGTCATTTGTCCGCTTAATGCTTCTATCATTGCTAGCTAGGCTACATAGGTCTTGTGGAACATCTAGTCTGGTACAAATGGAAGGTGCTAAATTGGAAAGAGATTATATAAATTGTAATCAGAATATTGTGAGTTATTAAAACTTAATCTTGTGTGTATCCATAAAAGCTCCTTTGTGTTGCCTTTGAGTTCTGGTTACTTCACAGGTGTGACCATGTCGTTTTCTCGGCAACAACATTGAACTTATTTGCTGCCACATTCTTACGAGCTATTTCTTCAACTCCTCCATTCATTCTGTAGCCTTGGGATTTTCTGTGGGTTTCCCATTTGAGAACTAATTAGATCCAACTCCTATTACATTTTTTCACAACCAGTTAAGCATTGCATTGCCAACTAAAAGTTAACTGGTGGGTGAGTTGGTGCAAGTAAAAATGAAAAAAAAAAGTGACTTGAATTTAGAGCTGGTCATCCAATTGTCCTTCTTTTAGCTGACTTCAGTTTTACTACTGAAATATAAGCTAGAGAGAAAATTGTCTAGCAAAGGATATAGTTATGATCAACTTTTTTGTCCTATACTCTTCTTTTTCTGAATTACATTTCTACTTCCTGATTTGTCTGACTATCATAGCATGCAATTCCATCGTACAGTATCCTCCGATTTCTATATTTGTGATTCTGTTGTGGGCAAAAAGAATTGGTGCTAAATAATGATTTGTCATTCCATATTGCGGAAAGATAACTACCAGTACTTTCTGAATTCTAACTGATTGTTTCCAGAATTGCAGAAAATCAGCAAAATAAATATATTTAATTTAATAAACAAATTAATTTGAGTCCTCTAAGGATGGCATGCTGAGCAGCACAGTGGTTTTTCTTCTCTGCCGACAAACAGTTGATATTGCCTCCAAGGCTGGCTCTTTGGCAGCATGCTCCCCAGACTCAAACAGGAGTTACTAGGAATTTTTACTTTTAAATGTTAAGATGGTGTTTCCCACAATAAAAATGGATGGGAAAAAAGGAAAGATTCCATCCAAAAAAAAATTAAAAAATGACCAGGGCTTGTACAAATTAATAAAATGTAGAATATGTGTGGTAAAAGTTGGATGAAAATGTAAATCAAATTAGATCACTTTTACTACCCAGAAAATTGCCATCAACGTCCATATGAAGAAAGTGAAATTGCTCTGCAATAACAAAATAAAGTAGTAAAATGATAAAAAAAAATCATGTTAAAATTCAACAAAGGGTTAAAATAGTTCAGCATTTGACTGGTCAATCAATATTTAAAATTAAGAATCAAGATAAAAGAAAAAGTATAGTTAAAACTTTGAAAACATGTAGCTAAAACTGAGGCATGTTTAAGAATAGCAAGCAGCCAAAAGGAAAAGATGGGGACCCAATTCTCTGGCCACTCCTACCAGGAATTGCACCCATCAAGGTCCTGTTCCCATACAAGTCCATGATCATCAGAGAGTCGTCTTAGGTAATTCTTAATTGCTCCTGTTTGAATCTGGGGAGTGCTCCACCAAAAAGTTGGCTTTGGCAGCAAATTCATCTGTTTGTTGTCAGGAGAAAAAAGATGCCTTGCCACTCAGCATGTCATTTTTGGAGGACTCCCCAGAAGTATTTCTTTCAAATGACCAATGTCTTACCCTGTTGTAGAGAAACCAAATGAAGATAAGATTTCAAGATTGTGGAATGTATGATAAAGAGTGAGAATGACCAAACTAAAGACTGCTTGAAACCATCAGCAGCAAACGGAGGAGCAGTTTTGCAGGCACATGTTGTGCATTTGGAATGTTTCCTGTTGGTAGCATCAAGAGGGAGAGGCCATCCAGAGCCTCAACAGGTGCAGTGTAAGACATACCAGCCATCATAGGTAAGAGCTATCATCTTTTGGTGTGCAAAGTTCATTTATTTTATTTTCTGTATTTGATGTAAAATTATGCTTGGACAGAACAAAATAAATGCGACTGACAAGTAGGGGATAATTATTAAGATAGATTGTGATCCTCCTGGCCTGTGGTAAGATTAAGTCTTCAAACTGAATTTGAGTAACTATGTCCGCTTAGTGTCTTTTGGCTGTAATATGGAAATTGTTTGCTATTACTTTCTTGCAGAATGATTTTTCAATTTTCTAGTTTAGCTTATTGCCTTGATATTCTCTGGAGGTCTCCTATTCAAGTACTGATGAAGGATCACTCTGCTTATCTTCTGAGCCCAACATAGAGCAAAACTGTGGGAAATTTTCTATTTTCTGTGGGAACCCCCTTCCTCTATGATTGTTTGCACATGAGGTCAAGATGGCTTGTATTCTCATGGCCTTTTTCAGGTTCTTGAAACAGTTTAGAAACAATTAAATTCAGTATAGAATATATCCATTTAAAATGCATCAGTAACATGCAGTATAAAATTGGAAATAGGAATAATTCTCTAGAAGCCTATCAAATTAGAAAGATTTTATGTAGTCTAAGAAAGTTGGCATTTAGAAGAGGTTCTTTAAGCCTAGATCTCCACAGGAAGAATTTTAACAAACTTACCCCAGGCTTTTCTGAAAAGCCTTGAAACAAGATACCTGTTAGACATTTTACATTGAGGCTATTTTTAATTTTCTGCTAACTTTTTACTTGAAAGCAAGCCCCACTGAGCATAAATAGAGGCTTAGGTTAACAAAATTCTAACATCCACTGTGAATTGCGGCCCAGAACTAATCTGGAATGATACACTGTGTAGCAGAATTAGCATATTCCTATAGTTTTAAAAAAATTGAAATAGTTAAAATAAAATTGTTTCAATTGAATTGGTATTTCCAATGTTAATTGTGCATTCCAACAAAGATTCAAAAACTGATTTATACTATGGTTTTTATATGATTATTTTTACAAAATAACCCAACAACCTACCACCTCCCAAACAAACCCAATTGTTTGCTATATATATTGTCTACATTTTGCTCAATATTTGTTTTTCTTGCAGCTTTTGACATGAAGAAAGATATAGATGCTTTAATAGCAGAAGAAAGGGCAGAAATCATTGCTAAGTATGAGAAGGTATAGGATTTATTTTGTCCATTAATTTGCTAATTCTAATAAAGAATTTCAGGGAGCTTGACCATATGTCCCAAGCAGGATTCTCAGTATTTAGCTACCCATCCAGCTGTTCATAAGAATGTAATTGACAATGCAATGACAATATGGATCATTCCTTGAAACTGCTTTTATGACAGCTGTTTCTCTCCATTGAGGCAATGTTTTATTAGTGGCAATCTGTTGAAAAAGCCAGTTTGCAAAAAATGATTTATTTGGGAGCTGTCTATATATGGAAGCATGAAAGTGTAACTTTAAAAGATTTAAATTTAAAAGCTTTATAGTGAAAGGTACTGGTGAAGGATTGCATGTTGCAAATCTGCAGGCACGTGACCAGAAGGCATTTTATGTAGTGCACTCATCCATGATACAGTAATGCCACTATGCAAAAATAAGTGATATCACATATCATCTGATCATGTACAAATCTATCTATCTATCTGTATCTATCTATCTATCTATCTATCTATCTATCTATCTATCTATCTATCTATCAATTTTACATGAGTTAAAATCCATCAGAACTGGTTTTATTTTTATATATACAGTATAAACATATATACATATAACTACATAAACATACACACACACGTGTGTGTGAACACATAAATATACACACATACATTCATACTATTCATATTCATAATATTCATATTACCATATATAGCTTTTTAAAATAATACCAGTATGACAAAACTTCATATTGTTAGGCTCTTTTACACTTTCCTTTTTTTACAGGGAAGGCAAGATGGAACTCAGATTGATCCATGGGAAGATGCTGACTTTGCTCTTTACAAAGTTACAGACAGATTTGGGTTTTTGCAGTAAGTTTTTTGTGATCCCCTTAATACTTTGCTAAAACGAAGTATGTTTTATTGACATGGTTGTTTTGAGGCTACTCCATGCCTTAGATCGGTCTTCACTTATCATTGTCATGAATGTACTTACTACTACATGAGCAAGTCAGTTGTAATCTTGTATATAAGAGTTTCAGCCATCATATCCTAAAAAAGTTCTGACAAAGCTTGATCTTTCAGAATTAAGCATGCAGAAATGTCAAAAACTGCTGGCATAATCAGAATTCCTGAAACCATGAAAAACCCTTTAAGGGCATTCAGAAATGTTCCAGATTTCTCTGGCAATCCAGAGATGTGGGTTTTTGCATTTGGAAATATCCCAATCTTTTCATTTGGTGATCCCTGTTGTAGAAATTATACTGTTATAGAGTATAATCCAGTTTAGGTCTCTTGCTGGCAGAACTGCTTGTGTCAGCAAAACAGCATGTGTATTATCTCTTTCCCCTTGCTCCACAAACTTCATGTATCCCCTGATTGAGCCACTAGAGCACATACTTTGAAGATTTTGGAGAGGAAGTAAATGTTTGCTGCTTGAGCAGACTTCAATATTTTTACCATTGAAAACAGAAGACATGTTGTTTTAACCTTCCTTTTTTAAATACCGTGTTTTCCCGAAAATAAGACTCTGTCTTATATTTTATTGAACCCTAATATAAGCGCTTGGCATTATTGCCATGTGCTCAGAAGTCCAATTGGGCTTATTATCAGGGATGTCTTATTTTGAGGGAAACAGAGTATATAATATTCCTGCCTTCCATTCCCACAGCAACCCTCTGGCTTGAGTTGGGCTGAGAGAAAGAGTGATTGGCCCAAAGTCAGCTAGGTGGCTTTCATGTCTAAGGTGGGGCTAGAACTCAAGAGATTCCTGGTTTCTAGGTGGGCACCTTAACCCCTACATCAGACTAGATCTCTAATGTTTTATGTTGTATTATTATAATATGTTATATATTGCTTCTTTCATATGTAACTCAGTTAGGTGTTTGTTCCGAGTTTTAATTAAAGACCCAAGTTAATGAAAAAATATAAGCTAATATATTAGTTAATCATTGACCATCTCTTTTGGGCATAATTTAAGATCTCTGCCTTTCCTTATGCATTCTTATATCACACATTAATTCAATCTGACTCTTTCTTTTACTTTTTCAGTGAGCATGAGTTACCAATTCATAGTGCTCTGGAAGAAAAGGTAAATTCTACAAGCTTTATATTCTGTAAAATAATGCCTCATGCATTACTGTCGCATCTCATTTAGCTGTTAGGGTAACATTTTTGCTCCTCAGAGCTCTGGTTTCAGAGCCCAATAATATGGCGCTTCCCAGTTGATCAACAGTGTACAGTTGTCATTTAGGAAAAGGCTCAAGATAATGAACCAATAAAGACTATAAACTAAATTGCTACTTTTTTTTAAGAACAGAGAATAAATGAAATTGAATAATTCCTTAGATGTTCAGTATAAAACTACTGTTTGTTTATCTTGTAAACACCATATGAGTCCATAGTCTTATTAACCTGGATATTATATTTCCATCTTTCTTTTCTTCCTAAATTCTCCTTCATTTTAAAAACACTTTTATAGCAAAAAGCTCAGGAGATTGAAAGAGTGGACAAATGGCTGAAGATGTTAAGAAAGTGGGGAAAATACAGAAACAGTGAAAAGGTAAAAACAGTGACACATTTTAATAATATTACTTTTTTTTTTTTTTTGCTTGTTCCTTTATTTCAAGGAATATTGAAAGTTCTTGTTGAACAACTCCTAGAACTACTAATGAAAAGGCTGGTGCAGCTCTTTCATTTACTCTCCGTGAAAAGATCTTGAAGAAATATATGGGAAAACAGAATTAAAAATAGACTTATTTATACCAAAATCTTATGAGTGAGATAAGCAGGTACACAATAGAAATCTCAGCTAAAAGAAATCCACATGGAAGGATCAGAACAGGAGGTTTTAGTTAAAATGTGAACTGTATTTAAGATGTTTCTTTCAAGAAATTTAGGACACTGAAATGAATTAGAATAAAATAAGACTAAGCCAAGCCTATTGTAATGATGGAGAAGAAATATATGCAATTTAACATAATTACATATTGAGAATTATTTCCAAGTTGTAGGCATGTTGTTCTGTTTTTCTGGAATCATCTGAACATTCAAATATGATGGTACAGATGAAGAAGTGGGAAAGACAATCATTACAAGAGAAGCAATTGTTCTTCTGAACGAAAGTAAATATCAGAGAGGTTACTTTCTGTATAATAGAGAAGTTCCAGCTTTCTCGACTAGGGGAACATTAGAAAAGTTCATTATACTTCACTTACTGTATTTGAGTTGCAGTCTAGATTTTGTACTTGTTTCTCAAGGAAGTCTAGGATGCTTCAGTTTTTTCTTCCTTTTCTTTTTGTGGTCACAGTTTCTTATATTGTATTCTATAATTTCTACATTTACTGTTACTTCATAGTTAAACTGTAATAGTCTGAACATTTTATAATAATTGTGTACTTTATAGTGAAAATATATATATGCACAGTGTGTTTGGTCTCCTACCTGACCTTCTCAAGCCTGAAGTGGAAATCTAATTAAAAGAATCCACATAAAAAAAGAGATGTATGCATTGTATATTATTACTCTCTATGTTTGTCCCTCCCTCCCTCGCTCCCTTTCTTCTCCTCCTCCCCTTCTTCTTCTTCTTCTTCTTCTTCTTCTTCTTCTTCTTCTTCTTCTTCGTTCTCGTCCCTTCCTCCCTCTCTCTCCCTCCCTCCCCCCTCTGTATTCCACCAATTAATTTTGTGCCGTAATTAAATTTCAATCATTTGTTGTAAATGTCCATCCGAGAAAACGTCCTAGTGTGCAGAAAGAAGTGATTGAGTTAATTTTTTTCTGAACTTGTTCCAATTTATTAAACTCCTTGGAAAGTTGACAATTTGATCAATGAGTTTATGAGCTTATTCACTGCTCTTTGGCTATATTTTGCCTGTTCCATTCCTTGCTCAGTCCAACTTCATTCTTCTACATTCAACATTCAATATATCAAAGTCAGATAACCACATCTGTTGAAAATTTGATTCCGCATTGTTTCTATGTGGACAAACAAGATAAGGCATTTTAGCTTTAAATTCTACATTATGTGCAGTTCTCCCCCCCCCCCAAATAGCACTGAATTATTAGTGAATAACTCAAAAGCTAATCCAGCTATTCCAATTTAGAACAACACTTTGTATATTATTTTTTAATTTTGCTAATGGAAGTTGGACTCCCCTTTGTTTTACTGCATTTTCTTCTAGTGACAGAGACATTGCAGACAAGGTACAAAGCCTGCAAGATAAGTTTTAGATATCTTGATGCCTGAATCAGAAAATAAAATGATCTTTAAAATTATATTACGGTAGATTATAAAACAAGAAAAATATAAAATACATATATATTTTGAAAAAGAAAAAAAAATAAAGCAATGAAAACAAACACAATGGTAACATATTATATGAGATGTGTGTGTGTGTGTTTATGTGTATGTATGTATGTACCAGTATATGTATGTGTGTATGTATATGTATGTATATGTATATGTGTGTGTGTGTGTATGTGTATGTAAGAAAACAATAAAAAAGATCTCATTAATGACTCAGTATTTAAAACAACAATGGAACCTTGCCCATAGAAAATCATATTGATTCTTAGTGCATATTCCACTCTATTGATAAAGACCAGTTCAAAAATTAATGCATGGCAACCTATCAGTATTGACTAATATAAAGTAAAATATCCTTTTCAATAACTGTGGAGGGGTAAATCACTCCATTTCCAGGCTGTGTGTGTTTGCATTTGCTCCCTCACAAAATAAAATTTAAAAATTATCAGATTTAAAAGCTTATTTTAAGGATGCAGTTTAATCTGCAGATAGGGAGATGTAGATCAGGTTGGATTATATTTCAATTCATAAAGAGAAAATTATTTAATTATTCCAAGTATAAAATACTGCCTAGGATCAATGAATGATAAAACAACCTTGAATTCTATACGTTAATTCTAAGAGGTGAAGTTAGGATCTTAGCCATTGGTTTAAATGACAAATTTCTCTTTGAAAGTGAATGAAATAAATCTTTATGTTCGGTTTTGGGATTGGGGGAGTCTCTGATGCATCAGCAGGTGCTTTCATATTGTATCAACACTAGCTTCTGTTGCCAATGACTCATCAAGATGTACTTTGTGACAAACTATACCCAAATTACATTAATTAAATGTAAATAAACATACGTATTGCCTGAAACTCTCATCTTTTGGACAGGATTTCCACCCAAACTTTGAGTCATCTGATAAACTACTCAGAATATTTGAAGTGAAAATGTCTGTTAATCTGTGCTTCAAATGTTAAGACACAGATTTTTTTTCTATGCATAATATGTTAATCATGCCGGGTTGCATCTGCCAAAGGAAATTCAGAAGAAAGTAGTTTTTGGTTAGCTCTTGATGATTGGACCATGATCACACTTTTTTTAATATATATATATTTATAGATGTTCCGCAGAGTTTATAAAGGGATTCCCCTCCAAGTACGAGGTCAAGTCTGGTCACTCTTACTGGATATTGAAAAGATTAAGATGGAGAATGAAGGGAAGTATGAGGTAAAGTATCTTATAATCCATTATAGCAATATAAAGTACACCAAATAAATATCCAGCCTCAGGTTACCTGCACATATGATAAACCAGTATTTATTTTTTCCCTTTCCCCAAGATTAGGGGAAAGTGTTTTTAGCCATAAACGTCCCCCCAAACTATTTGTAATTATGTTATTGCCTCATGGAAAAACGTAAACGCCCTTCAACATTTAAGCATTGTGTTCTACATTCCCATTCTTGTTCACATGGGAATGTGGTGGCTCATGTAATTAGGACACTGGGTTGGAGGTTAGCAAGCCTGCATTCAAGACCCGAGTACAAGTGCTGCTGCATGGCGAGGTGAGCTCCCATCATTTATTCCAGCTCCTTGACGTGGACATACACTCCCCCCCTCCCCCGTGTCTCCTGGGCAGAAGTGATGTCAGTGGCTAATCCTTTCAACCCAGAAGTGCCTTAAAGAAACGGTACCTCCAATGTGAACAGGACAGGAATTTCTGTTCACATAACAGCAACATTGTTCTTGAAGAGTAGCTCAGTCACTGCCCTTGGCAGCCATGAACAAACCCAGGGCTTTCTAAAATGAGATAAAGGAGAGACTTCACCCCAAAGGCTTTCTGTGGAATCAGTGGTGGCCTTACAAACAAGTTCACAATTAGCAAAAATTAAAATTATGAAATTATGAAAAGGCTGTTAGATTTCTCAAATGCCCAACCTGGGGAAGATTGAATTTCAAGTTTCAAGTAGAATCCAGAATTTCAAGTTTCTAGTTTGGAAATGTTGTAAAGGATGGAAGTGGCTCTCTGTGCCCAATAGGCAAAACTATCCAGATTAAGAATTTGCTCCGAGATGAGTTCCTGGACTAGGAAGACATTGGACTATAACCAGGGATGGGTTCTACTTACCTTTACTACCTGTTCGCAATGCGCCCGCATGCGCAGAAGCTTCCTGATGACGTCCGGGTCCGTGGACAGAGCCTCTTGCCGGTTTTACTACCGGTTCTTGCGAACCGGTCCGAACCGGGGGCAACCCACCACTGACTATAACCATCTAACTCTACAAGTCACCTTCCACCCCCGAAGTAAGATTTAGTGTGTTTTATTTCTACAAAGAAAGAAGCAGCCAGGGACTTTTATGTATTCATTTCAGTAATCCATAGACTGCTGATGGTGGAGATTATATCTGTTAAAACTACTGTAGTCCAAGAGGATTTTAGATCAAAGGATGGGGAGAAAAGGGAAATGTTGCAGTTACATTCTAGTTGATAAATGAGTTCTTCTATTAATCTCTTAACCCAAGTATCTCCCCCACGTCCCCCAAAACACACATACAGATAAGTTTGGGTAAGTAATTTAACATGTTTAAAAGTTTTGCAATGCAGAACAATATCATGCTGGAACAGAGTGCCATAGCCATACTTCAAATAGTCCAAGTCAAATTAATCAGATTCTTGCTGGGTCAAGTGAGGCCAGGCAGCAAATCCTCTGGGAGAGAACTTCTCCAGTAGTGCGATAAGTTTGTCCCAGCAGTCTGATGCTTGCACTTCACAGTGTTGTTGTTTGTCAACAATATTTGGTATATTCTCATTCAGTGAGGTGGCAGGTAATCCTTTCTCTGGTATTCACAGATAGGGGCGTGTTCAGTAAGCTTCAGGGTATGGCATCTACAATGTAGAAGGCTAGAATGACACTTTCACTTCTGTAGAAATAGATTGAAATCACTTATCAGACTAGTGATGTCTCCCTTTTTTAGTTGATTAGGCAATTTATGCCTTACATTGGCCAGCTTAACACAATTTCAAAGGGACAGAAGCCATGCTTCCTGCTAGGAATGGTTTTGATTCTCATTAGAGCATGTGGGAAAACCTTTGGCCATTAAAGGTAATTGACAGCAGTAACTTTAGTCAATTACATGTTAATATCTCAGTTCTGCCACTCTTCACAAATGTAATTCTGTGGCTGAAATGGGGTGTAGAATTACAACTTGATAACCTAGTGGTTTACAAATAGTCTTGTTAACCTTACTGCAGGAGCTCCCATGCCACAATCTAATAAGAAAGTCAAGCTTTATCTAAGGATGAAGTCAGTTAACAATTTATTTGTTACAGTGGTGAACTATTGATGACCAATAGATAACCTCACCATAAAAAATATTCTCCTTTGTCTGGAAGCCTAGAGACATATTCCTCTTAACTCTGCTTTTCAGTATTTATAAGCATTTATATTGAGGGAGAAAAAAAAACCCGTGTCCATTTCAATTTCACATGTCAGACAAATAGTAACATTTTTTGCAGTGTGTAGCTTTTAGAAGCATTAGATCGATATCTGCCCTTTCAGGATTTCTCTGTGGAGAACTATGATTGCCTATCACCTATCACTGAACACCTGTCTCCCCAAAGAAGCTTTTGCTCTGCTTCCTAATCAGTATCAATTGCTACTCTAGGTTTCTGCTTGGAATATCAAATACTTTGATGAGCAGTCCTTTTGCAAATCCTGCGGAACTGTCAAAATCCAGCTATGATAGAAATACCCACACCACCACCAAAAGATTTTGTTACGAAAGCAGGCAGATCAGGGATTTATTTATTTATTTGTCAAGTACGTATTAGATAATATATATAAGTATAAGCATGAATTGAATACATAAAATGAATACAAATAAAGGGAACATTAGGACAGGTAGGCACGCTGATGCTCTTATGCACACCCCTTACAGACCTCTTAGGAATGGGGTGAGGTCAACAGTAGACAGTCTTAGGTTAAAATTTTGGGGGTTTTGGGATGAAACTGCAATCAAGTTTGGAGTGGTTCACTTTTAAGTTTGTATCTATTGTGTGCTTGTGTATTGAAGCTGAAGTAGTCATTGATAGGTAGGACATTGTAGCAGATAATTTTATGAGCTACACTTAGGTCATACCGAAGGCGGTGTAGTTCTAAGTTTTCTAAGCCTAGAATTTCAAGTCTGTTGGCATAAGGTATTTTGTTGTGAGCAGAGGAGTGGAGGACTCTTCTTGTGAAATATTTCTGGACACGCTCAATTGTATTAATGTCTGATATGCAGTGCAGGTTCCAGACAGATGAGCTGTATTCGAGAATTGGTCTAGCAAATGTTTTGCATGCTCTGGTTAGTAGAAGAAGCATGCAAGATTAGGTTTACAACTCTTAATTCCTTTTTGGCGATGTTACAGTGGGCTTTGGCACTTAGATCATTAGATACCAGTACTCCAAGGTCCTTGACAGAGTGAGGGCCATCTACAAGGCTGTGTCAACTCAGCTTGTATTTTGTGTTCTGATTCTTTTTGCCACTGTGTAAGACAGACAGGGATGCAAGAGGATCATTCAAATTTCCTGTCTGTTGGGATATATTTGAGCACTCTTGCTTTCTTTGTTAACTAAAAGTAACAAGAGTTCTTCCTTCAAAACTAAAGTCACCATTTGCAGGTCTGTACTTGAAAAAAACGAAGCATTTCTTTAGGAACACAAACAGAGTCAACTCATAAAATAAATTAAAATAGACCTGTAATCAATATTGATTTAGGCATGGTGGTGGTAATCTGGAATAGAATCTGAAGTTTAAGAGTTTGTGTTTACCGCAAGCCTTCAGGAACTACTTACAAATCTGCTTGAGTAGATACACCAGCACAGATAACAGGAATTGACTTTAAAAGCTACACTTAATGAGATTGCATTATTTATTGATTGGTTTCTTTAATAAATATACATGACTAGTTTTCAAGGTTGCCATCTTTCCAAAATGCCTTTCAATTATAAAGCATACAGTTCCACATCAATATAAACAGTTAACTTTAAACAATGAAGGAATGGATTATCAGCAAAGGCAGTACGGTATATATAATAAATATTTTCCGCTAAAAGCCAAGTAAATTAGTCCTTTAAAAAAAAAAATCAGTAATTTTGACATGGTCCAGAGCAGTGATGGCTAACCTTTTCAGCATCGTGCCGAAACTGTAGCTCATGCGTGTATGTGTGCGTGCACGCCAGAACCTGGAAAAGAGCAGCTGGCTGGTGTGCACGTATGTGGCAGCCAGCTGCTCTTCTGGGTTCCGTCGTGTGCATGCATGCCGGATAACTGGTCCAGCATGCATGCGCACCAACCAGCTGCTCTCTTTGGGGTTCTGGCACGCATGCTCCAGTTTCGGCACTTCAGCATGTGTGCGCCAGAACCTGGAAGAGCAGCTGGCAACAGTGTGCGTGCCCACAGAGACGGCTCTGTGGGCCACCTCTGGCACGTGTGCCATAGGTTTGCCATCACGGGTCTAGAGTTTAAGGGTATAGGCAAACATTTACATCTTTAAAAGTCTTTTAAGATTTGACTTTAAAAGTCAAAATCAGCTATTTGAATTTGATTCAGAAACACAATTGATGCATTTTTAACACAAGTGGTGTAATAGGATTTGCCTGGCTAATGAACTGGGGATTAAGATTCTTAATCAAAGACAGCCTCATGTAACTGGCATTTTATTAGTCCAGTTTGGACAGTGCATTCCCCTGGATTGGGTCAGAGCTGCCATGCCAGTGAAGGGGTAAAAAGAAATGATCCTTCAGTGGAGTGCCAATTTAATCATATTTTGCAACCCTATATTATTTTTAATAGTTATACTGCTATTGAAAATAAAGGTAATTCTCATGCCCTTAACATTCACGCTAACCAGGTTTGGAAGGATGATACACTGACATTTTAAAATTAAGTAAATGGCTTGATTCTTTGTAAAACATAGCCAATTCAGCATGGTGTGACAAGTTAAAGGAAGTGGGATAGATTAAACCAGATAGTGACACAGATTAAGAACCTGTTTCTCTCTATTTATCTTGCCCATTGCAACCTCCTTACAGGATGTTACTATTTGGCCATGTCTCATAGCAAGCGAGCAGAATAAATAGAAGTCACAAGCTGTTGAACTAAGCTCCTGGGGAATCTGCAATAACTAAAGGACTTATAGTATAATAGACTGTAGATGAACATAAATCCTGAGAATCGGCTATTCATAATCCTTCCTATCCTTTTTGCCACTTGATATTTATATGGAACAAAGTTGGAGTTAGAGAAAAGCTTTTTGTTTAGGGGAACATAGAACATAGGCTTTCTTTGAAATCAGTGGGCCTTTCTACATTTTATTGTTCATTTCTTTTCTCTTGGCAACCCTTTTGGGAACTCGAGTATTCCTTGATTACAGGTAGTCTTCAATTTACGACCACAAGTGAGCTCAAAATTTCCATTGTTAAGTGAGTTGCACCCCGTTTTACCACTTTTGCCACACCTTTTAAGTGACTCACTGCACTTGTTAAGTGAATTGCGCAGTTGTTAAGCAAATCTGGCTTTCCCCATTGACTTGGCTTGTCAGAAGCTAGCTGGGAAGGTTAGAAATGGTGATCACATGAGCCCAGGACAATGCAGCTGTAATGGTCCTGTGAAAACTGGTCATAACTTACTTTTTTCAGTGCTATTGTAACTTTGAAAGATCGCTAAATGAATGATTGTAAGTTGAGGACTACCTGTACAGTTTTTCCAGTCAGAGTATCTGCTTGGTATTTCCAGCAGTGAAATATCTTTTTTTTAACTCTGTGGTCAGCTAAGAGGAAAAAAAGCAGGTATGTTGGGAATCAGGATCATGTCTGGTCTCCAGAAATATTGACTTCTATATAATTCACCTTTCTCTTGAGTGTAGATAATCAGGAATTAATCAGCCATTAAAATACTGTTATTGTAACACAATTTTGGTGTTCAGTAATACAAAATGTTTGGTGTTCGTGTGATCTGAAGTATTAAAAGGAAAAGTGTCTTGTATGTTTTATGGCAAATATATTTATATATATCCCAGAATTCCCCAGAAGCATGTTGTAATGGGGAGGAGGATGATTATCTTTTCCCTTTCTCTCTTGTTTGTTGACTGGTTTAAAGTCGCTTTATGCCCAGAAATCTACCACCTCTACTTAAATTGCTTTTTGAGATGGGGCTTTCTCAACCAATTTACTTCAGTTAGTTATTTAATTAGTAGCATATGCTGAAAACATCTCCATTTACTTTTGAGTATAGAAGTAATTTAGTAAGGCCACAGGTCTCTAGCCTTATGTGCATATTACTTTGGATATATTAATCATCTGTGCGTTTTGCATGTGTATAAATGTATTTAAATCATGCCTGCCACATAGGGCAAGAGAACACTCTATCCAATTATCTATTTATAAATCAGAATTTTGTTAACCAACTTACAAACAAAAAAGACTATGTCAGCAAATTTTCTTGCTGGATTGTAAAATTTATTTTATTGCAACTAAAACCTATTTTATCTATAGCTTTTTACAATTGAATAATAAAGAACTTCCTTCCTTCCTTCCTTCCTTCCTTCCTTCCTTCCTTCCTTTTTTATATAGCCATATACTTGCCATACAATGTAATGTGACATACATAATCATTAATAATCCTTATAAAAACAGCCTAATGAATAATAATAATAATGTAGAAAAACACATGAAAACATAAAGACATGAAGTGCTAGGTTTAGTGACCAATTCCTGAATTCTCTCTAGTTCAGAGCACTGGAGACAGAAGTCTTTTTCCAAGGCCAGGTCTCTCTGTGTCTCTCTCTTTAATTACAAAAAAAAAAGAGGTACTGACCACACTCTCTTACTATGGGAAGCTGAACCTTGTAGAGTCATATATCTGTGGTTTTGGAGAATGAAGGTCCTCCAGGCAGGCAAATAGAAAGGTTTTGAAAAGTTGCTCCAGAAGCAATCTAGCCCAAGGGCCGGAAAAGTTTTTTACTTCTGATTTTAAAGTTCTAATACTATAATTCATCCTGATTTGCCCAGAAAATGAAAGAACAAGCCAGAAGCTTCTCATCAGAAATCAAACAAATAGATCTGGATGTCAATCGCACTTTTCGAAACCACATCATGTTTCGGGACCGCTATGGAGTAAAGTAAGCTTCTCATATAGGGATCTCATTTATTTATCTCTGATTGTTTCTGTTTGTTTGTTTTGTATTTGTAGAAAATAAATGTTGGTTTATCTCCATTTAATCTTTTGTGGCTGGTGAAACTTCTATCTGTGGAACAGAGAATTTTCTTGGTCAGTTTAGGATATTGATTTCCTAATTTCATCAGAGGATGGAAGGCAGAAACTGGCAGATCACATCATCCTCTTTATAGTGTTTGGCGTTAATGGGTGATAACACAGAGTCCTTTTCTTTGCTGAAGGATTCTTAAGAGCACCAGATCTATATTTGATAAATCTATCAATTGAGGAGGAAATATTGGTTCTTATTTTATTCTAAAATCCTAAAATATTTCTGAAGTGCTTTTAGTAGAGAACAGATTAGCTGGTTTATAAAAGTGCCAAAAAACTAATGGTAAGACACCCTCTTGATATTCTTGTGTTTTTTTTAATATAGACAGCAAGCTTTGTTCCATGTCCTGTCAGCTTACTCTGTTTACAACACGGTAAGAAATTGAACATTACAAGAATCTGACATGTTTTTTTATTTGACAATAAAGATTAAGATTAGATTAAGAGGGCAAAGCAGACTTTCACAATGATATTAAGCAGATTAAATATATATAAAAAAGAATCTTATCTAAAACCAATGTACACTTTTATGAAAGACACAGACGTACAAAATCATTTCCACCTTTGTTCCAACTACTGTGTAGATAATCCATGATGCTTGGTCTAAAAATAAGAAAAGGAATCACTTCTGGTACAGACTAATTAATGAAGATGAGATCTCTTAAAATTGCAGTCATTTATATAACCTCTGTTTATTTATGCAAAGGAATGGTATAATTCTTTCTAAATAGTTGTGACTTTAGTCAGATGAGTATGTTGGTTAAATTCTCTGCATGGTCTTTTTTACTTTGTTCAGTGATAACCTCATGGTCCAGGACTCAATTTGTTATAGTCCCTTGTCTTATTTCTAGCCAAAGGGCACAGAAATGATAGTGTCTTTAAATTACATACAGAATTCGCTGCCTCGATGTGCCAACAGGAATTACTTAATTTAATTAATGGAATTAATTAATTATATTAATCTAGGTGATCCAAGGAACAGGAAACACATTTTTTTAATGTTTTTACCGAGATGGTGTTTCTTCCTATACAAAAAAATTAGACTGGCTTTTTTGAGCTTTTTCCTTATTTTATGTTGCAATGCAATGTCATGTTACATAATTTCATTCAGTTCATGAAAATGTGAGAAGTGACAATAGTTCTTTTTATGTCTTAAGGCTAATTTTATATTACAGACTCCCCTAGGATCTAAATATAGCATTGTTTCCCTCATGTAGATGTCGAAATGTTTACAAAATATTTCAGACTGAATTTCTGCATCAAGGATGAATAATTTCACATTTAGCCTTGAGTCCCAACTAATTCTGTCCCTTGCTGGAAAACAAACACATCCAGGTGCTTTCCTCAGATCTTTCCCTAGCATTTTGAAGAAATCTCTCTCCAAAGTTTTCCTACCTTTCACCCAATGAAAAAGGGAGGAGGAGCCCATTTCCAGGGGTTAAAAAAACTCTTCAGACCTTTGAAAATGTTTTCCCAAAAGGAGTGTTTTAAATCCTAGGGCCTCCTAGGATTCATCCAATTGTTACTTTGCCGTACTGAAGGTGACGGAAGACAAGAACCAGCTACTCTTTAACCCGAATGGTTCTTTCCATATATCATCTGTAGATTCAGCTTTTAAGAAAGACAACATCTGGCCTCTTCCTTCTGACACTATGAAGTCCCCGGGATGTGACTAAAGGGACAGTGTTTTCTTTGCCCTCTCTTTTTCGGTATATATTTGGTTCTACCTATACTTCTTATTTTCATTATTGAAAATAATGTGATAAAATTATTCAGGATTCTTTGAGCCTTCCAGAGAATTTGGGGGAACCTCTTAAAGTAGCAATAAGTGTTATTAAAGAGAAAGGCAAAGAGGAGTGCTTGAACATTGACAAGTTGCTGGACAGAGAGTGAGGCAGGAAACACTTCTGGGTTGAAGAGCTCCAACCCAAAAGTGGAAGTGGAGAAATTGCACTGAATGGCTGAAATGGACTCTTCCTAGCAGCTTTGGTTCAGATGCATAAAAATCTTACAAGAATTTGTAAGTGCATCATCATAACCACTGATTGAGTTAAACCAAGTCACCCAGCCCTATTTCTTAAAGGCATCTTTCCTATATCCTCTTTCAGGCCACACCCATTGTCTATTGGTGAACTTTGCCATTAAAATGAAATTTTCTGTGAGTCAACAAATCATGCTTTTGTCTGAAAAAAATGAAGTAAAACGCTAGTGTTGTGAACTTAGGGAACTTTCATTTTGTGCTTGTATGTGCAATACACTGTACCCTGTAAATTGCTCATCTTGTGTAATCATCCAGGAAGTGAGTTACTGCCAGGGCATGAGTCAGATTGCAGCTATCTTGTTGATGTATTTGAATGAAGAGGATGCCTTTTGGGCCCTGGCACAACTGCTTACCAACCAGCGGCATGCAATGCATGGTAAGGTTTCAGTGGCAAACACCTTCATTTATTCGCTTGTTTCTTTATTGTGTTTTAGATGATCTCATATTTGGGTTCAGTCTGGTTCAAAGTCTAGATCCTTCCTTTTTATGTGCTTCTTGTAGTCTTCTTCATGTCTGCATTTATTACTGTTGAGTTTAAGCATGATGTACAAATAAGCTCTTCTTGGAGTCAATTAACCTTTGAACTTCAATGCTGTTTTGCAATTTCGTAGTGCTGTAGTGCCAGTCAGAGGCTGTATTTTAAATATGAATACCAGAAGGGGATAGGGATTCTGATGTACACAAAACACCTTTTTCTCCACGCATCAGGCAAACTTCGAGAACGATTCCTGAGTTTGCCTGATGGAATGAAAAGTTGTTTATTATGCATTAGGTAAATCCCTCCCAGGTTTCCATACTATCATCAATAAGTTAGGCAAGGTTGCTTTGACTGTGTATAATACAGAGGACAACTGTATACACAGATCTATGTACACATAAATTCCTGATCTTGTCCAAATGCAAAACTCACAAATGAAGATATAATATAAATATAAATATAAAAATGCATTTTCACAAACAGGCTAGAGTTCCTTGGAAGTCTTAGGAAATTCAAGTACTACTTATGCAATGATGTAAGACGCTCTGCTGTATTTCTTTAATACATTGTTAGTACTTTTGTTTCCTTTTTGCTAAAGGATTTTTCATTCCTGGGTTTCCAAAGTTGCAGAGATTCCAAGCTCACCACGAAGCAATCCTAAACAAGCTTTTCCCAAAGTTGAAGAAACACTTGGTAATGCTTTCTTTTGTCAAGGGAACAGCAGTAATATCAGGATGTGTTGGTTTCTGCCCATACATTTTTGAAATATTTTTTTTGTTTGCCATGCATTACTTTTTTTTTAGAGTTTTCATTGCATCAAATACCAGAAAAGGTGTCATCTCTAAATATCGTATTTTTTGGAGTATAAAACGCACTGGAGTATAAGTCGCACTTTAATTTTGGGGGAGGAAAATGAGAAAAAAAGAATTCTACCTCTGCCTACGAGCATTTAAGGTGGTGCTGCTTTACGCTGCCCTCCTCCTCCTCCTGCAAGCGAGAGGTGCCTTAGAGACTCGGCTGGGAAAGAGGGCGCCGATTACTGAGAAGTTCTTTTCCGGAAAACTTATCGGGGTGCTCCTGCAATCCACAGGGACTACTCACTTTCCCCGAAGAGACCCTTGCATGCTCTGCAGGGGAGGGTCGGGGCACAGGAACGAGCCTCTTCAGGGTGGTCTGGGGAGGAATCTGCTGGGCGGCTTCGGTGAACAAGGCGGGCCCCATGGTTCGTGGCAGCTCAGGGCAGACAATGGCCACAATGACTTCACTCCCCAGCAATGTGAGGAGCTGCCGCCACTGCCTAAGACCTCTCCGCGCCTGGGAACCCCTAAAGCAAAACATCCCTCCTTTCAAGCCACCGCCACCTGTTGGCCCAATGCAATTTGCAGAGCCATGTTTCAGGCGGCGGCTGGTTGCCCTCTAATGTGCTTCGGGGAACCAGGGAGGAAAGCATTTTCAGGTGGCACACCGTGCTTTTGGATTTGGGGAGGAAAGCGCTTTGCATAGCAAAGCAGGGAATGGGGGTGGTGGGGTTGATCGGTCGTTTGAAGGGGGGTGGGGAGATGCACAGTTTTAACTTTGCACGTGCTATGGTCGGTGTTGGAGGAGGAGAGGCGGAGGAGCTGGGGGTGCTGATGGTCTGGTCCTCTGCCCCTCCCCTCAGGCTGCCCGGGATAAGATCTCCACCATCAAGCTGTTTTGAGGAGGTTGCAGACGGCTTTGTAGTATTCGCTAAGCCGGCTCTTCAGCTGCAGCACCCGGTACCTCTCCACCATGCAGTCCTTGCAGAGAGCTTTCACTGAGGAAAGGGAAGGACACCGGGAGGCTGAAAGGCAGTGGCAGGGCCCCCTCTTTGGCTGTTCGGCAAGGGGGGAGCTTCTGCCATCCCACTGCCCTAACCCTGTGGATGAGACCCAGCAAAGAGCTCCCACCCTGGGAAGGAAGGCAAAAGGCAATTTCCCTGAGCTTTTAGGGGCGGGCGCCACTTTTGCCAGCGTGGATTCCTGGGGTCGCACCTCGCCTCTCCAGAGGCAGCTCCGAAAACAGTGCTGGGGAAGTGCAACGGGGTGGGGGGTGGGGAGGAAACTGACAAATGTGGCAACACACCAGTGAGGTGCAACACCAATTTTGCGACAGTGTGAGAGATCACACCTCCTGCAGAGTTGGAAGGCTCCCTCCCTTCTCTGCAAGAGCATACTATAAGCAGTTCCAACTGCCTGGTATTCCTTCGCCTTTCCTTCCTTGCTCCTCCCCCCCACCTCCAAAACAGAGGGGATCACACCAAGGAGGAAGCCAGGGCCAAAGCTGGCCTCATCCAGGAAAGCGCCCCCCTACACCTGTCAGCCTGGGTCCTCCTCCATATCTCTTGTAGAAGTAGTCAGCCACATCCTCCGAGACTCGCTTGACGGTGGAGAATTTATCTGGGTGCATCTTCCCCCTCCCCTTCAAACGACCGATCAACCTCCCACCCCCATTCCTTGCTATGCTAGAACGTTTTGCTTTAGGGGCTCCCAGATGCAGAGAGGGCTTAGGTGGTGGCAGCAGCAGCGGCTCCTCACATTGCTGGGGACTGAAGTCATTGTGGCCATTGTCTGCCCTGAGCTGCCAGCTGGGCAGCCAGAGGGAGGACCAGCCATGAACCGTGGGGCCTGGCTTGTTTGCCAAAGACGCCAAACAGATTTCTCCCTCCCAAACCACCCCGAAGAGGCTTGTTCCTCAGGCTGGGCCTGACCCAGATCCCCGCCACCTGGAATCGCCCGAAAATGCGATGCACGGAGGCCAAAAATGTCCAAAGGGTGGGGGCCAGCAGGTGGGCGGGGCTACATTCGGACTACAGGACGGACCCAGATTTTCACCCTCTTTTTTGGGATAAAAAGGTGCGTCTTATACTCCGAAAAATACGGTATATTATTAGAAATATATTTGTAGCAGCAGGGATAAATTTGTAGCCTGAAAATCATACCACTTCTCCCAGGAGCTTCTTGCTCACTTGCCATCAACTGTGTGCTCATTAATCCTGTGCATGAGACAGACAAGGATCTCTTAACCCCTTTGCCTTGTGGCAAATAGTCTGGAGAAATACATTCCGTGGCACTACCTCCTGATCCTTGTATCTGAGTTGTATCTCCAGGGATAGCAGTCTCCCCCACTCCCCCCCCATCCCTTTGAGAAAGGAGACCAAGATGAGAAGTGGGTTTTTTAAATAATAATTAACAACCTCAATGTTCTTTAGGTAATACATGCAAAACACTCCATGACAAAGGATAAAATATACACTCTGCCACAATTACAAAGACATCTTGAATGAACCTCTTTAATATGCTCACAATTGTACTGAAAAAAAGAGGGAAAGGGAACTATAATAGTTCTCCACTGAGAAAATAGATATGGAAGAGAATTCGAATGAGTAACCAGTGAAATAAAATGCTGCTTATTGCATGGTAGTTAGTTTAATTTAGGAAAGAAAACCACCAGTATCTATGAGGAGATGATCTTGAGAGCCGGAAAGCATGTGAATTATAGTTCACAGATCTCTAATTTGCTTGTCTTATAAAATGAGATTTTAAAAAAAAATATGGTCTCTCTCTCTCTCTCTCTCTCTCTCTTTCTCTCCCTCCCTCCTTCCTTTTTAGGATAAGGAGCAGATGTTGACAGGAATTTATACAACTAAGTGGTTCTTACAGTGCTTCATTGACCGGGTACGGGATTGGGGGAGCAAACATTTCAGATGCTTCCTCCAATGTCATTACAATACTAATTTACATTGTGTCTTTCTGCTTGTAATTATTTTCATTTGATATAGAATGATAATTTTATTAGTAAGGTATAAGAAACAGTAAAAAAACAAACTACATGCATTACAGTGATTAAAATAAACTAAGGGGTAAAGAAACCAAGGAAAAAAGAAAAATTCTATATAATATTAATGTAAAATTAATGCAATCTGTTATTTTAGTATTAAAATCTAGTCTAATTTCTGACTGATAAACAAACAATTCCATATTATATGGGATTTCTGATTGGTCTGATTTGATTTTTAAGATTATATTCCCAGATGGAGACTACTGTTATTTACCTTCCCTTATTGAATTTTTATAAAAATATGTCACAAAATGAACTTGAGTTTTAGTCTTGAGTTTAGCTTGAAAACGTTATTTTGATGAGACCTGCTGCTCTATAGATACATTGTGGTTTGCATATTGCCAGTATGTCATACTTTTTATTTTTTAACACTACTCAGACTCCGTTTACGCTAACTCTGCGGCTGTGGGATATTTACATCCTGGAAGGAGAGCGGGTTCTTACAGCTATGGCATACACCATTCTCAAACTGCATAAAAGTAAGAAGTTGGTTTGATTATTCAATGATTTTTTTTAAAAAAAAAACACCACTTGATACAACATTTATAAAGGAGAAGCATCTTTTAAAGACAAGGCTGCTGCAGAAGTGTTCAGAAAACTCTGTTTTCATTGTCCCATATACAGGATGGCAGAGTTCGGATTTTATTTTGTTTGCCTGCATGACAACTGAAATCTACTCACATGGGTCCTTGCTATTACAATAGAATTTTAGCAAAACTGGAATTGTTCTGGAGACAGTGTATTCTTGCTTCTCTCGGGCATTTCCCTGCCCCCCAGGCCCTCCGGAGGCAGGAAACAGCCTGTTTCCCTACTTCTGGTGGGCCCAGAAAGCCCGAAAATCAGCTGGCAGGTGCGCACATGCGCGCCAGAGTTGAGCTGACGTGCCCACTGATACGGCTAGGCGTGCCACCTGTGACACACATGCCATAGGTTCACCATCACCGGTCTAGATAATCAGTAAAAATTATCAAATGGTCTCCACAAATGAAGACAGTACACAAAATACGTATAACAAAAAAAAGTCTGCCTTAAGATTCACACACTTATTATTCCCATAGGTCAAGAGGCAACTTTGCATGGAAAACTAAATCTTCCTGAGGGGAGTTATAAAAGACAGGTTCAGCTTGTGCCTCTTTTTTGTTTATTGTGGGCTTTGTGGGGGTTGAAGAAGCTAGAAAAGGGACAAATGCTAGATAGGCTTTTCTGACAAATTCCAGCGAGAGAAACCATCTTAATCTGATATTACAAAACAGAAGAACGAGTCTCATAGCATCTGAAGCATTTGCAGTTTACTTTTTGAACTTCAGATTGGCAGCTTTCTATATCTAAAGGGCAGGCAAACCTCTCTTGGCATTGCAAATGTGATCACCTCTCCCTCTCAAAATCTTTTATTGCAGATCAAAACTTCTTGAGACAGACATAATTTATGTCTGTACTGTATTTTGTAAAAAGAAAAAAAACATAAGTGTGGTGATACCCTCTAAATAAAACATAGAACTCCTAAACCAGAAATACAAATCCTGCCTACTTGTGCAACCCACCTATTCACTGTAGCCTCAGTTGCCTTTTTTTAAAACAAATGTATGACTTCCACCCCCCCTAGAAAGATGCATATAACAGACCAGAATCCAGCCTATGTTCTTGTAAAGATAGATTAGAAAATTTCAGAAGTGAGAATAGGCCATTAGCCCAAGAATACTTGGACCTTGTGAAATAAAACATATACTAGTAATCAGTGTTTATATGTAGCCTTCCTATGACTGTGTATAACAAACGTATAATCCCAAATCTCTATCTTGTAAAACGTAACAGATCACTGCATACAGAATATTCCTGAGAGATGAAATCTAAAATCAAGATTTGTTTAACTCACACATTTTTGAATGCAAAATAGTCTTCTTTAAATCATGAAGATGTGCTTGGCCAAATTGCCTTGCAAGTACAGGTAGTCCTCAATTTACAACAGTTCGTTTAATAACCATTCGAAGTTATAGCAGCACTGAAAAAAGTGATTTATGACTGTTTTTCACACTTACAATTGTTGCAGCATTCCCATGGCCACGTGATCAGAATTAAGATGCTTGACAACTGACTCACATTTATGACGGTTGCAGTATCCCAGAGTCACGTGATCCTCTTTTGCACCCTTCTGACAAGCAAAGTCCATGGAGAAGCCAGATTCATTTAACAACCGTGTTACTAACTTAACAACTGCAGTAATTCACTTAACCACTGTGGCAAGAAAGGACGTAAAATGGGGCAAAATTCAATTAACAACTGTAAGTCGAGGACTATCTGTAGTTGAACTTCACTGAAGATTGCATCAAGTTGCAGAATGTAGCTTTACTCCCCCTTGTGGTAGAACATTAGAATCATCCTGTATTTAATTGGAAATGCTGGTAATGGATTTATTCATGTAAAAGGATTTAATTGATATAAAGTTCACAGTCTTGAAGTTACACATCTGTACATTCTTGCCAGGATGGATGTGAAGACATTCATTTGATCGCAAAGGCAGAAAATGAGTATATAAACAGATAATCATAATTTTACTTCATTTAAACAACATCTTTCACCTGTTGCACTGAGTAGTCATTCAGTAGAAATTGTATCAGGATAATGGCAGCGTCTTTATCGAACTGATGTTTCTGTTACCTGCTTAGAACGCTTGTTGAAAATGAGCCTCGAAGATCTGCGGGAATTTCTGCAAGAAAAAATTGCTGCTTCTCTGCAGTTTGAAGATGATATTGTAATTGAGCATTTACAAGCATCCATGGCAGAACTGCGTAAAATGAAATTTGATCTTCCACCTCCAGGTAAGTCAAAGTTGAACAATTATGCATTTTTTTTTAAAAAAAGCATTGTTATGAATAGAAGGTTTGTTTGTATGTTTGTTTGTTTGTTTGTTTGTTTGTTTATTAGTTTTATATTGCCGCTTATTCGCCCATGGCGACTCAAGGCGGCTTACAGAATATAAAAAACCACATGTAAAAAACAGTAAAACTCATAAAAAATCAAAACCAGAGATAAGGAGAATCCAAGACCTCAGTGCCTTCCGTCGCGCCCTTAAAACCCATTTATTTAAACAAGCCGGGCTGGCTTAAGATGAAATTTTTAACTGTTTTTAAATGTTTTAAACATTTTTAATTGGTAAATGAGTTTTAATTGGGCCAAATTTATATATCTTTTAATTGTTTTTAATATTTGTTCTGCATGTTTTTTAATCTGGCTGTACACCGCCCTGAGTCCTCAGGGAGAAGGGCGGTATAGAAATCCAATATAAAATAAAAAATAAAATAAATAAATAAATAAAATAAATTAATGTAATAAAATCACCCCTGATCCCCACCTCCCGCCCCAGCGACAGCCGATCACACGAGCCATTTAATGGGCTCCATCCCATTCTGGGTTCCCCAGGGCCGCTGGCAGAACCAGGTCTTCAGCACCTTCCGGAAGAGAATTAGGGTGGGGGCTGTTCTAATCTCTGGGGGAATGATGTTCCAGGGACTGGGAGCCACCACAGAGAAGGCCCTTCTTCTGAGTTCCACCAGGTGTGATCTCCCTCGGGGATGGGACCCGCAGCATTCCCTGCCTCCCCGCTCTAATGGGTCAAGTAGATGTGACCGGCAAGAGATGGTCCCTCAGATAACTTGGTCCTAAGCCATGAAGGGCTTGAATTGCACCCGGAAGCAAATTGGCAGCCAATGCAGCTCCCGCAGGAGAAGTGATATATGTGCACCCCGGGGTCTGCACAAAACCGTGCGGACTGCTGCATTTTGCACCAACTGGAGCTTCCGGATGCTCTTCAAGGGCAGCTCCATATAGAGTGCATTGCAATAGTCAAGACAGGAAGTGACTAAGGCATGAGTGACTGTGAGTAGGGATTGCCGGTCCAGGAAAGGGCGTAACTGGCACACAACTTGCAGTTGCATGAAGGTCTTCCTGGCCGCAACCGTCATCTGCTCTTTGAGCAGGAGTCCGGGAGAACCCCCAGATTACATACAGGGCCTGTTTGGGGTGGTGCCACCCCATCCAAGACCAAAGATGGCAAGTCTCCCTGAGCCAATGAACCCCAACCCAGAGCCACTCAGTCTTGCCAGGGTTTAGTTTCAACCCATTGCTCCCCATCCAACCCCTAACAGCCTCCAGGCACTGCGAGAGGGAGGACACGGCATCACTTAATTCACCACGGGCTGAGATATACAGCTGAGTATCATCAGCATATTGGTGATACCTCAGTCCATAGTGACGGATGATCTCACCCAGCGGCTTCATATAAATGTTGAACAGGAGTGGAGAGAGTACTGAGCCCTGTGGCATCACACATAGCAGTGGGCAAGAGCTGGATCTCTCCCCTTCTATCAGCACTGACTGAGAGCGGCCGCAGAGGAAGGAAGTGAGCCAGGATAGCACAAGGCCTCCCACTCCCATCGCCGCTCCAGGAGAATACCATGGTTGATGGTATCGAAAGCTGCCAAGAGGTCAAATAGAGTAAGGATGGATGCACTACCCCCATCCCACTCCCTCCAGAGATTATCCAAAAGTACAACCAATGCCGTTTCTGTCCCAAATCCAGGCCTGAATCCTGACTGGTAGGGGTCGAGATAATCCTCGAGATAATTAACAAGTTAATTCCTGTTAAGATAAATAGAGAGCAGCTTAACTTGCTTGAATGCCATGTCTAACAGAGCAGCATTGACAAAATTAGTTTAGCTGAGTAGGGAACTATGATCACAAGTACAGCATTCTTTCCTTCTTTTTTATTATAGTTTTTCAGAACAATAAAAGTGAATAAAATTAAAAGCCCTAAAAGAGCAAGGAAAAATAAATATATAGAAAATAAGAAAATGAAAAAAAGAAAACACAGAATTATGCTTCCACCCTTCTTTCTGTTGAGGTGTTGCCACCTTGTTCTTTCCCCTTCTTTCACTCTTTTTAATTTCTACATCCATAAATCAAAAATTCAGTCTTTTCTTCTTTCACCAAAAAATCCAGTTAAGGCTTCCAGTCTTTCTGAAAAGTCTGTATAGTTTTTTCCTTGACTAAACTGGTCAGCTTCATCATTTCCACAAGCTCCATCAATTTTTACAATCCAATTTTCTGTGGATATTCCATTATTTTTCCATCTTTGTGTCTACAATAATCTTGTCGCACATACAATACGTTTCCCATATTTATTTTCTAGTTCCTTGTCCATAAAACCCAACAAAAATTCCAGTTTCATCATAATATTAATCCACAATATCTTTTGCATCATTATATGAATTTGCACTCAAAAATTCTTTGCTAAATACAGCACCTTTTCAAAAGCTACATTTTCACAATCACCTGTTGGAGAAAAAAGAGAGCTGGATTTCTTACAGGTGGGATCATACTCAAGAGTGAAATACCTGTGTTCCATTTTGAAGATCCCAGGTTCAGAGCAGATGGAAACTTTAGTCTAAATTCTTGTGCTTCTTCTGCCAGTTAGGATATAGATTATACTAAACTATGTGGCTTAGTTTGTGACTGGTTTCTTTTCCATTACAATTAAAACTGTCCAGGCCAAACACCATAAAACAGCAGTAATCAATAAAGAGAAAATTAAAAGTTAATGCTGAAGACAATTGCACTGAAAATCTACCTGTCAGAAATGGAAAGGAGTGTGAGCACTGAAGGGACATTAGCATATATGCTTTCTTGGAGAGGTTTCCTTGTTGAGATTGATTGATTGACCATCACACACTGTCTTGTGATTTACATATGCAGCTGCAGCTGGTCTGTGTGCAGGAAGAAACTATTCCAATGTCCCTCTTGATTTGACATTTTTATTTTCTTCTTAATTTTCATACCCTCATTCAATTTTTTTTTTATATCCAGTGATAAATATTTGTTCATGTTGTTCTCCATAATCATGTCAGATAAGTTTTAATAGCATGTTCTTTTTTCTTCTGGGAACAGGGTATTCATAAAAACAACATAGCTGACAGTATTTATTCAAAGTCCCATTGCCATACCTCAGCAATATCTCTGAATGCCGTTATAAGTTGCTTAGATTGTTACGTCTCCAAAATTGAAAATATTTTGTTTATCCTACAAAAATACATTTATTTTTTAAAATTAATTTCAAAGTCTTAATATTCAAAATCATATTCCCACTTGTTCTGAACCCTTAATTCATTTAAAATTTTCTACAGCCAAAACCTTATTGTGTTTTTTGCTGTTTATTTTGAATTCTTAAAACTTATAAAAATATGATTTCATTCTCTTATATTAAGGATTAAGCAGTCACCCAGTGTTTCCAGCGTTATGATTTTGAAGATGTCTAATTTCTTTAAAGGACTTAATAGGCAATTTCAAAAGGTGGTTAACAAAATAAAAAATGTGCAAATTTAGAGTCCTTTGAAGTCTCCACTGTGGCTGGAGCAAGAATGACAAATTCCCCCATCTCCCAGCTCTTCTCTCTTGCAAATTCCTTGTGAGGAGCAACTGTAGGGAGAACATGAACAATGTCTTAGGCATTCAGTAAATTTGAGCCAGTCACTCCTTTTTAGCCCAACCTAATGTAATCTGTGTTGTGGGGAAAAATAGGAGGAGGAAGGAGTAATGAATATGTTGGTCACCTCGAGTTATTTATATAAAAATAATAATAAAAGCGAGATTTTAAAAAATTAAAAAAATCTTGCATCCTCTCCAAAGAGGGTTGAAGGAGCCAATCTACTTATCAGTTTCTTGTTCTTAGTCACACTCATCAGCTCTGCCATTTCTTCTCCAGGAGTCCTATGTATGATACCTTTTTAAGTGTTCAAGAAAACTTGAGACAATTTTCATATTCCTCTTCCTAATCCCAGTGGTTGTTGTCCCTAGAAAATTGCTAATGCTGCTTAATTTGCTTTTCATTACTTAAACAAAATAAAATCCAGGTCACTACATTTCATGTTTGTCCTTGGATTTAGACTAATGCATGTCTGTACCTTTGTACCTTTCTGTTGCAGCAAAATCTGAAGAATTCCCAAAAACACCCCTGGGGATGGAACTTTCTCTAAATCTACTCTCAATGAAATCCAGCATAGCCAATAATGGTCAGAAAACGGTCGTCAGTGACTTCAACAATGATAAAGATGTCATAATACAATCTTCTCCAGATAAAAATCCTCATTGCCTGAATGAAGGAATTGATAACTCAAATATGGCAATACAGGAAAGAGCTTCTCCAGAGCACAATGGAACAGCCTTGCAGAACAAACTGGCGGATATGCATAACAATCCTTTCCAAAGACTTCCACCAAATGAAATCTTTGAAACTGAGGAGTACCAAAGGGAAGAAAGTGCTGATAAAATATCTTCAGTGGAGAATCCTATAATACTTGATAACATTCAGACAGTGGTGGGAGATCAACATGTGGCTTCAGACAGTGGGAAGGATAATTCATTAAAAAGCAGTAACTCTGAGAAGTGCAGCTTACAGGAAAACAAACACATTCCTTTAGATGACAGGGACCACATTATTCCCCCTGTGCTACAAGCTCAGACAACAAACAATTCTGCCTGGGAGTCCGACTTGCAGGGTCAGCCCTTGGAAGCTGACCTGTCTATCAGCCACGACAGTACAACTTCGTTAACAAGATCGGAGTCACTGCATCACTTGGACTCAGCACCCTCTGTGCAAAATGCAGCTGCTCTTGAGCAAGAGAGCACAACCTGCTCCTCTGAAGATTTAGCATCTGAAGGTGCTGCCTTGCTTAAAGATGATTTACAGCATCCCCCATGTATAGAGGCATCTTCTGCAGCAGGACACGGCCTCTTTATACCGCACGGCGTGCCAGGAAATCTAGTAGTGCCATGTAGAGAGAGGACAGCTGCTGCTCTCTCTCCTCCCTTCCAAGATGGCCAGCGACGGCCTTCTAACGTATCTCAGTATGATAACCTGTCTGAAAATGAAGAGGAAGAAAAACAGGTGCCCGCTTCTAAGAAATTGGCAGATTCAATACCACAAACTGAACTCTGCACACCAGTATTAAAGTCTTCTATACCCAAGTCTGCCTCACTTGGGGAGATAGACAATCTCCAAAGGCAAACCCAAGAAGTGACAGATTTGGCAGAACTGCCAAAAATTGATGGCCAGCTCACCTCATTCCCCATGCTGCCACATTCCAAACGATTGTCTGGGGGAGGCAGCGTGCCGGTCCTTTCTGAGCCTGGCTGTGATGCCCTCTTGCTGCCTGGAAGCCTCCAAGCCCGGCCTACTTCGTCTCCTGTGTTGCAGGATCAGCACAGCCCCTTCAGAATTATTAAAACCACCACCCCTCTTCATTTGGCTTACGCCACGGAGCAAGACTGCTTGAGCAAAAAGCAGGTGGCTCTCCCTTTGCCAGAAACCAGCCACTGTCATACAGCAGATGGCAAAAAATACAACCTTGTCCCTGGGGAAGCTGAGGTAGCCGGTGATTGTGTTCAGAAGTTGAAAAATGTTCCAGGTGGTTCACCTGCATTTCAGAAACCAAAAGTACCACCCAAGATTTTCAAAGCACATTCAGAGAATACGTTCTCTTCAAGCTGTTCCCCCATGGGGCAAATGTCTAAATCAGTCACATTCTAGAATTACCGAGAAAGCGGAAATTTGGGTCACATAATGGTTTCCATAAGAGTTTGGAAAGGAAGGCAGAGCCTGAAGCAAAATTAGGAAGGTGATCACTTCATTCATCAAAATGTATTCAGGAATTCAGGTTAAAGTTCACAGGCCAGGCTAGGCTGGCAGCTAAAGGCTGCAGAGAGCTTCTGACAAGATTTGGGTTGTTTTCCAAAGTATTTGAATTATATGTCTCATTATTTCCTCGCTAGGTAAACATTTTTAACAGATTTAACTTTCTAAAAACATCAGTGTTTCCAAACCCTTGTAGCTGACAAATGAAAGACATAATTCAGAAGAGCAGCGAGTCCAAATGGAGTTACTTTAGGAAGAAGAAACCAGTCAGTTCCAAATTTGGGCCAGTAATACTCTCCCCCACCCCCCCAGTAGCAATAGTAATGTTGTTTTTGTTTCAATTTAGTACTGTAGCTAATATACTATTACATATGAGCCTGTGCATACTGTATATGCCAGGGAAGTTAATTTTCATAGCATCTATGCATATCAAGCACACATCATATGTGTGTCCTTTCACTGAAATCAGACAATTTGACATGCCTTTTTAAAGCTTTGGTTCCTCTCGTTCCACCATACCTCCTTGTGTACAGTGATGACATTTATTAAAGAGGAAGGAGATCTCCAGCACTCCGTTCAGTTGAACTTTTCAATATGTTACAGACACGTGTAGCTTCAGAGAGAATCCAGATAGTGAGGTAGATGGTTTGCAATATGCTATCCGGTGTTTTAAGTTTGCTCAATTCTCAACTTGTTTATGAGCATGGATCCTCTAAGGTAGGGGTCTCCAACCTTGGCAACTTTAAGACTTGTGGACTTCAATCCCGGAATTCAGCTTTGCTGGCTGAGGAATTCTGGGAGTTGAAGTCCACAAGTCTTAAAGTTGCCAAGGTAGGAGACCCCTGCTCTAAGGATCCATAACAGGAAGTATTAGTTTGGAATGCAAGAAGTGTTCTGATTGCACTACAATGCAACTTTCACATCCTAAGGAAGTTGTGACATTTTACTTGCCCTCATGCCATTGCCATCCCTTTGGAAATACTCTTTTACTTTAGGTGAGTATTGTGTTGATTAATAAACAGTTCTTGCCCTGATATTAGAAGAAGAAAAATATTGGTAGCTAAGACAGTTCCTCAAAGTGGTCTTTGATCAAGTTTATAACTTTCCTAGCTGCTACACAGTTGTGAAAGTAATACATCTCCGTTTCTCCAGGATGCAGTTCCAAATGGAACTACATCCTGGAGAAACGGAGATGCATTATTTTCACAAGGGTAAAGATTCAAAGCTTTTATTTGACCTAATCCAGTTGAGATTTTCCTCAGAGCATGCAAAATTCATGGCTGCATTGGTAGCCGTTAAATTTAACAGAAGCAAAAGATGGGATTCTCTTTGTTTTTGTTTTTTTCCCTTTGATGAGAAATATTTTGTACTCCGGGTTTTCAGTTTTCCTATAATTATGCTTCCTTTTGTTTTTAATAAGGTGTGATAACACATTCAGACTATTGTAATTCTGCAGTGCATGCTTTTTTTTTTTTTTTTTTTACATCAGTTACGTTTTGCAGCATTGGATGCACATTAAATACCTTCATGCCTTAAATCTGTGACGCACGTTTCCCACTGCAAGAATAACTAATGGACAATTCAAGGAATTCTAATAAGCAAAGTGTAGTGTTACTTTAAGATGCCAAGAAAGGGAGCCTAGTGTTTATTGTAAAGAGAGGTGGCAATTCCATGCCCATCCAGATTCTGGGCTCCAATTTGCATGTCCTTAGGTTTCGGATGATGGGAAATGTACTTCAAGAACATGTAAAGAGTACAATGTTATCTAGGGGAAGGAGCAGACCTTCCTCCATTTGAGCTTGGACAATTGAATATTTTTAATTTATGCATATATTTTATCTTGTGTTCTGCCCTATACCTACCCAGGCAGCACCAGACTAGAAAATGTTCTTTGCTGAGGTTATTTTTTCTTTTTGGTTTTTTAGTTGTTGCTTTTTTTTTTTTAGCTTAGCTGATGTCCAAGTTAAAGAAATGTTGGTCTAGATTTCCCAACGGGCTCAAATGTCGCACTCGTAACCTGATGCCCAATTTCTGGAACAGGATGAGGTTTAGAATTGCAGAAAGGGCAAGTTGCATTCCTCTGTGTAGAAGACACCCGAGTGTCTTCTTTTAAAGCAGCAACGCCCATTTGGTTGGGCCTTTTCCCTTATGCTGTTCTGTGTCTGTCTGTCTGTTGCAGAAGGAGAGGAGATGCACCTCAGTACTTCAAATCTGGCAATCGAGCAATTCACTTCTGTCACCCTTTGCTTGCCAGCTGCCTTGGTGGCCTCTCACTTTTGTCCGTAAGCAAATTTTATACCAGAGAAACACAGGAAGGTAGCTTTGCATTCTGGACCTTTTTCACTTGCTCCCAAATAGAAACTGATTACCTTTTTCAGCCCCAGACTGGTGGAGATTCACTTTTAAGGGCCTTCTTATGGCCCTTCAGTTGCTATAGTCTCCTAATTTTCTTCCCACAGACATAGGAGAAGGACATTGGCGCCACTCCCCACTGTACTTGAGCAAGACTGTTGCTGAATTGTGGGGCCAGGGGCAAAGCTTGTGTCTCCAGTAGAGAGGCATCTGATAGGAAATTGTGCTGTTTAAAAAACAAAACTGCCCATCACCATCCATATCACAGGCCTTATTCAACATATAGCTGCAATGTTAACACACTTCCCATTCTGCATAGTTGCCTTAGTACTGGCTGACTCATTGGCTAATTAGAGCTATATTTTCCCAAGTACAAAAAGGAGTATTTAATGGTCAGAAAAATCAGCTCTTCTCCAAATGCTATTTCATAGGAAAATATTGATGTCCTTCAGAACACAAAAACAAAAGCTTCCACATATTTCTGGCTGGATGTCTTTTGTTTTTGAGGAGGGGTTTTTTGTTTGTTTTTGTTTGCAAAAGAGACCAAAGACTTGAAACTCCAGGGCGAAGCACCCTACTAAAATGTTGAACTGTAGCTGAAAGAGATCCAGAAGCTCCTATTCTTTGAAAGCATGGACTATGACCGGAAGACAAATAATCTGCTTATGTACCTCCAAAAGATAAAGCATTTTTTGATTGAGTAGTCTCTTTGAAGCCAATCCAGATGCCAAAACAATTTACCCACAAAATTTAATTTCATCAGCATGTCTTTTAAGTGGAATGAAGTCCAAGAAAGGAACATCCTTATTCTCAAGGCAATAATGTATCCTCTTTAATATTAGGGAAGACAATACTTTGAATCCAGAGAACAACACACATAATACACAAACCTATTTGGCCATGCAGAGGTTAATCTTGTGTAATGGTATTAATCTTGTGTAAAGTTACAGAAGAAAATTTGTTTCCTAAATGAAAGTAGTTACTGCCTAGAGGGTGAGACAGGTTACTCATCCATGTGCATATTATTTAAAATTGTACCTGTCTTATTTATGTTAGCAATTCAAATATAGCTTTACATGTAGGCATGTATCACGCTGCATACTGTATTATGAAAAGATATTCATATGATTACAGTTGAGCAGATGTTTAAAATCTGAATAAACTATAGTTTTAGATGTGCTTTAAGATGTAGCTTTTTTAGTAGTGCAGCCACCAAAGTAGAACTGGAAGCTAGTGCTTAAGGCTTCCCAGTATAATTTCTGGGCCAAAAAAGATTTCCTTTCTATGAATGAAATGGAAATCTAAAGTGTTTTGGAAATCAAGAGTAATGCCTAGTTATTTTCTAAATCCTCTGAATGCCCATTCCATTTATTGCTCTTTCACCTCCTCTTCTTCCTCCTCGTTTCTCCATTTGTTTCAAAGATAATTTGAAAGCAGTCTTTGCAAAAGGGGGAAAAAAGCACTACTGGACCTAATGCCATGTTTATGTCACTTTAAACCAACAAGAATGTCCCACGAGAACAACATTGGAACCGTATCCAAAGCTGGGGTGATATTCCAAGTGATATGAGGGGAGCAGTCGAACTTCGTAGTTTTCGAACCATCTTTTAACTTGTGGGTTACAGGATAGAGCAAATCTTGAAAGTGTTTCACCACAACACAGTCAAACATCCCAGGGAAATGTTCAGTAAATCTCAAGTGTGCTCTTGTGCTAAGGAATCCAGCTGGAGTGCCTAAGACTGAGGATTAAACACTCTGATTAGGATGTTAAGAACCAACCCAGGCACTCCAGTGAGATCACAAGGTTTAATATGCAAGCCCTGCTTTAGGGATTTTCATTGCTAGAGGCTAGTTGGGATAGAAAAGGTATTCTGGCAGCATTAAAGATGTGGAAGCCTTTTACTTCCATAATATCCTTCCACAAACTAGGTTACTATATTAAAGGAGTTTCATGGATTTCTGTCTAGACTTCAGTAATGCCTGGTTTGGTTTGGATCAGAATAATCCTGTTGAGGTTTGGATTTGATGCTGTTATCCCCCAGGCTATTACACTATTAAGATGGGGAAGGCATCATCTCCACTTTGAGGAGGTGTAGCAAGCTCTTGGAGCAAAGCCAGCTGAGCTCCTGCATGGAAGCAAGCTTTGACCAGTTTTAGAACTAAATGTTCCTTAGTAGGAGAAACAGTATTCCTTCAGAAACTCAGGAAAACATCAGGGAATCCCCGATTCCCTAAGTAGAGCTAAGATGTATTTCATTTTAAAATCTAATGTTATCTTGACAGACCAGCTCCAACTTTTGGATCAGAATAGCACAGGCACGAGGCAGGGATTCAGCTCTGGATTCTGGACGCTTTCCCACTGCTGAAAGTTGGAACACCCTGTGGTTCAGTAGATGGCCCCATTTGGGCTCTTTGATAGGTCTGCTGCCACCGTCGCCCTAAAATGTCCCATGTTAACAGCTACTCTTGACACCTCAGAGAGCTTCCTTGGTAATTCTGTGTGATGTAGTCTTCCTGTCGTTCTCTTTTATGTCTGTGCTTGGGGGAAGATAAAGCAAAAATATTTTTAAAAAATCCGAAAGGATTGTACAGATGTTGAAGAGCTGTGTTTTACATGGTTGTAATAACAGTCAGACTTTGGAACAAATTGCTGCGTGTGGATTCTTTACTTGCTCTCTGGGAATGTTTGGCAAGTTGCCAGTCTGTCCCCTGGTGTGCTCAGTTTTTGGGCAAAGGTGAGCTAAACTACTTCTCCAGATGCCATCGCCGGAGGGATGGCAGTCCAAGTGTGATCCGTTCCTGCTCATCTTGTTGGTTTGGTTTAACAAGAGTTTGGGTCGTGACAATTTAGCCATGGGACAATCCACTATAACCACACTGTAGACAAACTGACACTTCAAGGAAAGATTGGAAACCGTTGGATCATTGCTTGCAGGTATAGTTGTGTTTAAACATTTTCTTGGAAATTGTAAAATGAAACATGTTTGTCAGCACAATGTTCATGTTTCCAGGTTTATTCTGTAGTAAGATAATAGTTCGATTGTGACACTTTCTGCAAAGGCCAGAGTTGTATCATTCATGTGACAACTGCAAAATTCCCATGCCATCATTGAATGGCAGCAAAATCTTTGCTTTCTTCCTCACCAGATGGGGAACCATGAACGATAATGTTGATTTCCAACTAGAAACTCGGGTTTCACTACCAAGTTCAGCCTAAACTTAGTCAGCCACAGCAGCAGGAAAGGCACCTGACAAATATATGACAAAAATGATGAATTCCACTCTTAAATGGACAGCTCTGTGAGAAAGAACAGAAACCTGATCAGGATACTTCATGGAATATTTTTAGATAATTGTCTGTTAGTGGGCAATAATGGTTGTACATTTCCATGGGCAGGTTCCCCAGCTTGAAAACGTTTTGAGACCCCTGTATAATACAGCTGCCATGTAAAAGTTAGTCTGAAATCCTTTCCGTGCAATACATTTTACAATTGTATGCAAATGTTTAGGTACCTGGGATCATTTTTTTTCCAATAAATCTCTAAGTGAACAGAAGCTAATCCAATCCCTGGATGTTGCAGTGGTAAATCTACTTTTCTGCCAACTTGGTCTATTAGCCATATGATTCAAGATCAAGGCACCACCTTGATCCCACTTCACCTCTTTTTGACAGAAATAAATTTTCCAGCATTTCCTGTAGCCAGCTAAAAGCCTCTCTCTAATTTTCCTCCACTTTTCTAGCTCAGAAATATTTTTGGGTTTCCTTCCATTGACTGAATGCTTGAGATCTGCCCACAGGTTTTCAATAAAATTCAAGTCTGGGAGCTGTGAAAGCCATTGTAATACTTTCCTCTCTGTTTCCTGCCAGTATTTTATGGTCTGCTGGAGCTGTGCGTTTCAAACCATTGTTTGGGAATACTCAGCTTCTGCATACAATTGCACACTCAACATGTATAGTTTGGCTTAATGCTGCTTCTATTCTTGTCGGCAACTTTTTGTGGGCACAGACATAAATGGCAGAGTATGGTATGTAAACAGATGCCTAGAGTGGCTATAATGTATACAAATTCCTCTAAAAATGCCATGTTTTTGAAATGGGGAAAAAAAATCAGACCAAGATAAATCACTTCAGATGTTTCTCCACCTTTAAAGTAAACTGTATAACTCAATTGAAACTCAAATCTTTTAGGGAGGGAAATAAAGCGTTGCATAAGTGTGGGCACCCCCTTATAAGTAAGGATGTACCTGTGTTCAGAATTAACCAATCACATTCCAAACTGATGTTAAAAATAGTAGTACACACCTGCCATCAATTAAAATGACTGATCAAGCCCATCAAAGGGATCTCATTGAAAGGTATCGGTTAGGAAAAAGGAACAAAAAAATCTCCAAGGCTTTGAATATACCACGGAACACAGTGAAGAGAGTTATCAACAAGGCGGGAGACTATGGCACAGCAGTGACATTACCAAGAACTGGATGGCCCTCCAAAACTGATTTAAAAATACAAGAAGAAAATGGTCCTTGAGGCTGCCAAGAGACCTATAGCAATATTAGAACTGCAGGAATTTCTGGCAAGTACTGGTTGTCTACTACATGTGACAACATTCTCAGTACTCTTCATATGTCTAGGCTTGGGGTATGGTGGCAAGATGGAAGCCTTTTCTTGCAAAGAAAAAAAAAATCCGAGCTTGGCTACGTTTTGCAAAAACCTGCATCAAGGATGACAAAAATCATGTGAGGAAATGTGCTCTAGTCTGATGCAGTTGGATTTTCTGGCCATGATTCCAAAACCTATATTTGGTGTAAAAACAACACTTGCACATCATCAAAAGTATACCATCCCCACAGTGAAGCATAGTGATGGCAGTATTATGCCTTGGGGCTGCTTTTCTTCAGCTGGAAATGGGGCTTTGGTCAAGGTGGAGGGAATTATGAATAGTTCCAAATATCAATCAGTTTTGACACAAAATTGTCAAAGGCCTGAAGACACACATCTTCAGGCCTCTGCAGAAGATGAAGATGAATTGTACACTTCAAGACGACAAATGACCGAATGCATGCCTCCAAATCAAAAGAATAACTTTACCAGAAGATCGAAATTTTGGAATGGCTCAGTCAGAGCCCAGACCTGAATCCAATTGAAAATCTGACATGAAGAAGGCCTGTGCACAGGAAATGTTCTCGCAATCTGATAGATTCGGAGCGCTTTTGCAAGGAAGAATGGTCAAAGATTCCCAAGGCAAGATGTGCCATGTTGATAGGCTCTTACCAGGGCTGGGTTCTACTTACCTTTACTACTGGTTCGTAGCAGGGCCGCGCGCAAGTGCATTTTGATGACATTGGGGTCGGTGGACGGAGACCCATCGGTTTTACTACCGGTTCTATAGAACCAGTGCGAACCCGGGGTAACCCACCACTGGCTCTTACCCAAAAGACTGAATGCTGTCAATAAAATCAAAAGGTGTTGCAATAAAGTTATTAGTTTAAGGGTGTGCATCTTCATGCAACCAAATTAAACTTTTTATTATTTTTCCCCCTAAAATATTTCAGTTTGTTTCTCAATTTAATTGTACATTATGTTATATTAAAAGTGGGGAAAATGTGATTTATCTTGGTCTGATTTTTTTTACATCTCAAAACATGGCATTTTAATAACGATGGGTAGACTTTTTATATCCACTGAACTTGCTGTGTAAAATCACAACTATATCGATACATGGCCTTAACTTACAGAAGATAAAAATGAGGGCATGTTTAGCAAAAACATATTTAAAAAGAACAAGCTACTTCCTGAAACTACAGAGAGTAGAAGTTAAAATGTAGAAAAGTAACATGAGCCTATTGTTAGGGAGAAAAACCTTGATAAAGTCAATTTCCCAGTTAAATATTTGCTGCTTCATTCAGCTGTAAATATCTCAAATTTCATATATTTTTTGAAAGATAAGATTCATGTTTTTCTTTTGAGTCACTTTATGAATTTTCTGCATTTAATTGCCAAACTTTGGTAGCCAAAATGTGGCGTGCCTATTTTTTTAACTTATCAACCCACCCCTTCCATTTTTAGAAGTTAAAATATTTGCGGATAAGCCTGGATAGTGTGTGTTTATGATACAGGCAAATGTATTTAACTCCAGACACTCCCATTTTTCTCACTAACATGCTTTTACAATACCCACATGTGCTGCTCCCCCCCCCAATGTTTTTTGTGCACGTTTTATGCAGGTGAAAGACTTAGGTTTTTTGGGACTATATGTACAATTCAACTGATTTACCTTTTCAGAAACATAGCAGAGATCCCCAAATATGGATGATTGTTGTGTAACAATGCAGTTTGTTAACAAAAGTTATCATTGTGTTTTTAAAAGTATCCAGCTCCAGTATTTTCATGAACTAACAGATTGAAAAATATGGTTGGGGGGTGGTGTTGCAGATGGCCAAGTACGCAGCAAGAAGACCAGAGGTAGGAGGGCAGATTGCTTGAAAAATAAGAGAGGGAAGGAGCCTGATGTAGCCTTTTATGCAGGGGAAAAGTGGTGGACATATTTAATGGATATTTTGGTGGGAAAGCATTGGGCCTTCCAAAACAAAATTAAGTTTGGTTATCCTAGGACCTAGATGTAAAGAATATGATGTATAAAACATAGCATAACATAATAGCCTATTAGAACTACAGTATTTTTCTCCTAAGGAATAGGTACCATGACCCTCCAAGTGCTACAGTTTAAAATCAGCTATACTAGTTAAAGCCACTACTTAATTCTATTTCTCATTAACTGCCTCACCCTTAATGCCATTTTTTTAAAAAAAAATGCAGTATTAAAAAATAACCAAAGTTCTTCAATTACACGGGCACAGCAGTGGCAGAAATAAATGAACTAACAGCATTCCAATTTCTCAAGACAGAATTTCCTTGCCTGCTGAATTTTAATGGTATAGACTTTTGAGGCTGTTAATTCTATGCTAAATGGCTATGCCTTAATTAAGCATTAAAAAAATACTGTGGTTTTAAAATACACAAGGGGAAGATCCAAACCCTACTTTAGTTTTGAACTGAGCTTGTTTTTTCATGTTACTATCTGCCCAAATGTACAGTGGATAAACCAGGAATGAGCAATAGTGGAGACACCAATAATTATAGTTCTGAGAAAAGTTGTGTGCTGAAAAATCCCTTTTGAGGTTGCATTATGGCAGATAATTAATTATGCATAGTTAACAGGAGACTGTTTAACAGCAACATGTTGGACTTGATCTGGTTTATTAATTAGATCTCAATGCCTTAATTCAGGAACATTCCTTTTTTCATGTAAACAGATGCTTAAAGTTTGTTAGCCATTACAAGCAGCAATGAAACCGAAGCCAAGAGTAGAATTTGTGAAGTGGCTGCCTTTCTACTTTGGCCAAATTCTCCGGATAGCTCATAACCCATGAAAAGATGGGCTATTTTAACAAAGGGGAACAGCGAAGGAAGAAACCCTGCTGCTTTATAGTTACTCCCTTAGGACATTCCTGGGCAGCTACCTTTGGGTAGAAGTGCAGTTATCAATTTCTGTTAGAATTCACCTTGCCCTGCTAAGGTACTATAACAAATTAGAAAGCATCTCAAGTCAGTTAATTGTTCTTTTGAATTATATAGATGGAAATCAATGGATCAAACTCAATTGCAATCCCATTATGGGAACTCAGTTCTCGGAACAGTGAAAAAGCCCCCAAGAGATAAGCTTTTTGAATAAGCTGCCTGTAGATCTGATGCTGTGGTGCCATTTTCAATGTTTCATCTTGATACCGACATTATAATAAACGCAGAGGCCTCTCCCAATATCTGGTCAACATCTACAATGAGCCATTCTGCTATTAAGGCAGCCTGGATCCAGAGTGTTGAGAAAGACTGATCAAATAGTAAAGTCATCCAGAAATGAAACAGGTATTTTAAGCAATTAACAGAAATGAACCAATTTTTACTTTTTAAGATATATGTTCCAGTGGCAAAAATGTGTGGTTAACGAAACTGTTTCTTGGGGTTTAAATATCGATAACTATTTTCATCCTGAGATATAGTACAGGGAGTTTGAATAAAAGGAATATAAACCCCAAAAGGTACAGTATACACACCAACACTTTTGAGAACAAAATCGCTTTTAATGACATTTAAGGCTAGGTTTGGGTTCTCTTTAATACTCCCAACAGTTTTAAAAAATCATGCTTGTTATCTAATTATTAGGCTGGTTTTCTTTAATTCAGCCAGTGATGAGGGATCTGGTTGTGATATCTTACCAGAAGAGCTTTGAATTACAGCAAGTACAGTCACAGACATACAGAGGAACTGCTCCCTGACAGCAGGATTCGGAGCTGTGCATGCAATTACGTAGGCACAGCAGCTACAAGGGAGAGTGGAGAATGGAGCAGGAACACGGAAACAGGCTCCCATGTCTCCAAAGACCAGCTCCACCTCCAAGTAGTACACAAATTTTGCAATAAGCACACCAGGGAAGACAGCCTTGACACAGGCAACAAGCATAAAAATCTTGGGGAGGCTGGTGAGGTGGGGTGGGGAGAGAGAGACCATGCCAACAACAAACAGGAAAGCCTACATACAAGTCAACCTTTCTTGCCCACTGGATAATTCTTCCCAATCAGCCTGTAAGACACAAAGGTTGTGGAAAATAAAATACAAAAAGTTTCCCGTGTCTCCTAAACATATACGGAGGGACTGTTTCCTTTTGATGCAGCAGGGAATGAGCAAAGGTTGGGCTCACTGAATTCAGAGTTGGAAAATCCAAGATCCTCCAATCTCCATCAGCAGGTTCAGGTAGAGTCAATCTATACATTTACAGGTTCTCCCAACACCATAAAAAGGAAGAAGAAAAAAGGTATACATCTAAAAACTGGCACCCTTCTTTCCCTCCACCCCTTCTCAAATACTCTTGAGGATACTGTCCAGGCCTGAAGAGAATGTCCACCAGACTGACCTTCTACTCTCTGCAAGAACGACTTGGTTGTTCTAGCACAGGGGAGACAATATTAGCCCAAAATAAGAGAGGCATTATTACCTTCCCTGTTTACACAGAGATAAATCAATGGGCGGAGACATGTGGAACTAGTTATAGATATAATTATTTTTATGCCTTTCCTACCCACTTCTTGAAAACAAGAGCATATTTTCCCACTACACTCCCCCCCCTCAAGTGGAATGACAGGCACGTGAATCTTCTTGGCAGTACCTTCCAAAGAGCCTTGATCTTCTGCTGACAACAGCTAGCTGCCTTTCAGATGGAGCCCTCCAAGCTGTGAATTAGAGTTTGCTCCCTGCCTTACATGCCTTGCAGCACCAAAGTGGGAAACCAGTCCACCTGCAGATGCATCCAGGCTTTGGCCTTGGTGAGCTGAGCTCAAGCTGATTGAAGAAACAAGATGGGTCTTTCCCTGCATGAGCTTCCTTTCAGACACTGTCAATCAATCCCTTGGAACAATGACAGAGATGGCAAAACCAGTGTCAAGACCACCAAATAATAACTTACTGCAATTCCTTATGTGGCTTTGTACACACTGCCAGGAAGAGGGGGGGAGGCAAAAAAAAGGGGGGTTTAAACAATAAAAAAGTTCCTTGCAGGCCTTGGTGAATTTTTAAAATTGTCCATGTGGAGCACTTGGGGGGGGGGGCTGCAGACACCACCCCATCTCTCCTTTCCCCGAATCCATTTGATTCTATTTTCACATCGCCTCCATCTCCGTGCTACACATAGTAGAAAGCCTTCCAAATCACAGTCTGGTCCACTGCAAACAGAAAAAAGCAATGAGTAAAATAAGCTGAAAGGCCTTTACAAAAAGTTACTTATTTATACAATTCAACAACATCAGAGTACAAAAATTAAAACAGATCAATACAGTATACGAACTAATAAAACTATTAATACAGGGGGGAAAAGTAATCAGAGGGATCAATTTAAAATGCCAAGGATGGTGTGTGTATATATTTATTTAATATGGTCCTGAAATTATTTCATGGTTAATCCCAGTCACACATTCCTAAAAGGGAAAAAGCTTGGACTTCAGAATTTTGTTAACTGGGAGTGGGAGTGGGGGATAAATCTATACACCAGTGTATTGTTTGCTTCACAGGATGGCAGTTCTGATTTGTTTGCTGCTCTTGTTCAAGAACTGACCTCAATAGTTTGATTGTGGATAACAGACCCCCAGGCAGTGTTGCACTTAACATGGTATGCAGAAGCGGTAGCTCAGCAGCAAGTAGTAAATGCTTAGAATAGAAGCATTATGCTCTCCTACAGTAGCATTTCACAGAGCAGTACATTTATGGAGTTGCAAAATGAGAGCCAGTGACAACTTACAGTGCCAACTATATTTTGCATCCGCTGAACTTATCTAGTAACTATGAAAGTCCTACATTTGGTTTTCATTCAAGCCTTCTTCAGGCTGTCAAGTCTACCTTTTCACTCACCTACTGGTGAATGGGTAAAAGGTCTCCAATGTGGGGTGAGGGGGGGTGAGGACTACAATTGCCTCTGAGTGTTCCAAACTCATTCACTGGCATCCTTCAGTCTCAGAGACTATGGTATCGTGCTCTGGAAAGAGGTCCTAAAACAGCATCTGGTGTGACTAAAAAGGCCAATTCGAGAGTGGCAATCCCTTCCACACCAAGGGCAGATACATTCTGTCCCCTGCACCTGGTTCCAAACTGTTACACTAATTAACAGTCATTAATTGTGATAGCTTAACCATATGCAAACAATGGATCTCATTAAGATACCACTTCCTTGATCACTGCTGAGCCGGAAAAAAAAGAAAACTGTCCTTTGCTGACACTGTGGAAATTTACTTACCAATGTAATTCATTGTTTAAGTAAAAAGTGACTGTAGTACTATTTACTAACCTCAAGATGATGCTGTGATTACATCAATGTTTTGATTTACAAAACATGGCGATAACGGAGAGTGGGAATTATAAGCCTTCATATTCTTTTTTTTTTTAGTTTCAAGTTTTTTAAATTTTATTTTACAATATATCCGTATCAATGTGTGAACAGTGTGGCACCTGGGTATCATACATTTTAGTACAAATAAAAACAGTGATATTAATATTTGTTACATTCCTCAAGCTTATGTAGTTTTTGTGTTAATACACATCTTTGTATTAAATTATACTTTCCTTATTTCGTTATTCAATGTTTCAATACGTTATTCCAATGCCAATCACAGTATTGTTTAAGCATACATAATACTATCATTCAATTTCTAATCTTCCCTCTTATTACTTTTGTCTTATTGTATACTGTATTTATACTATACTATACTATACTATACTATACTATACTATACTATACTATACTATACTATACTATATATTGTATAATGTGTATACTAATATTCCCCCCCTCTCTTATTTCTATCCCCATTCTAACTTTTAATCAAACCACCATTATATTTAAAAACAAATCCTTTCTATCGGTCATCTCTTGACTGCTTTAAAGCTTTGTTTGTTTTTTAACTTGCCTCCCATATTCCTCTCTTGGATCTTATCCTTATCTGCATCTACGTCCCGACTATTCATTTTAAACATTTCTCATGCCCCTATCTCCCTTTCAAAAATGTCTTCCTGCATCTCCAGTTCCCTTTATAAATCTCTTAAAATGTTTTCCCCTTGGTTTATTTCATCAGTCATTGTTGTTTTTGTTATTGTCTCCTTGTCATTTTGTTTTGTTTGCTGGTTAATCTGTTCTGCTTTTTCATCTGCTCTTTCAATTGGCTCCTCCTTTTCCTGGCTGTCTTGGTCACTCATTGTCCTTTGTATAATATTTCCCAGTTTTTTGTCTATGCCATGCATTAATTTCTTAATCTCCTTGTGGTTTCTTATCAGAATGTCCTTGATGCTTTGAAACATCGATGCCATTTCTTCCCAAGTTCCACTCATTCTTTCTTGATGGAGCATCTCATTTTATTTTAATAAGTCCCGCTCTTGTCCAGTGATTCAAAAACCTTATATTCAAGCTTAAAGTCACTCCCCCCAAAAATTCAATGTTCCCAATTTTTTTGTATTCCATAGTTAATCAATCTGTTCCTTTAAATAGTCCCAGAAGCTTTCCAGAACCTCCTTAAATCCCCTTTATGTATTCAATCTTATATTATGGCATTCAGGGGTCTCTTTAATGAATATATCTTCCTTATTCTCATATTTAAATCTCCAGTAGTGACGTCGTAGGTGCATAAAACATATCCTTGTCAAAATTTTCAAGGATTTAAGAATATGTTATACTTTCCTTTCATCAACAGATGGCACTCTCAGTTTAGATTTCAATGTTAACCAGTTTTAGTCAAATAATAAGTCAAAATATAGAAACAAAGTTAGTTTTTTAGGTAAATAGTTCCAGTATTTTTAAAATGCCTTCCCAAAACAACGCCTGCTCAATTTAAAAGTCCAATTTTCTATATTTTTAAAAGTTTTTTTTTTTTTTGCTTTTCTCTCTTTGATTCTTTTCTTTCAATTCTGAAGTTTTTCTCAAAGTGCTTAGTCGCTGCTTTAACAAATAGTTGTGACCCTCTCTTTTCCTGGATTTTTTCCTTTTGGGGTTAGATTTTAAATAGAAAAGAATCCTCTCACCCAGTTCCAGACACTGTTCACTAACTCTGCTCCAGCACCAGTCTTAGGTGTTCCTCAGCTGCCCCAGCTTCGTGGCAGCCATCTTTAGGCCGCCTCTTCTCCTCATCGTGGCTAAGAGGGAAAGAAACCCCAGGTCCAGCAGAAGAGTTGCAACTCTCTGCGTTCTCACAGAACGCCCCCCTTTGCTTCGTCACCCCGCTTTGGCTCTTTTCGGAGCCCACCAACAGGGAGAACTTGACCCAGAAGCAGGGAGTCCTGCTCCTCGTGTCCAATCTCGCTGCAACATTAGCCAGAAGTCCAAGCCTTCATATTCTTGAGTTCCCCAGGTTAGGGAAATGAATTCATTGGATTTGTAGTATATGCTCATTTGCTTATAGTACAATATTGTAGATGCAGCCCAATCTCTATTATCTTCTTCTGTTTTAGATATAAGAACTCTTTCACATGGGCAGACCTGCTGGTCTCACTATTTATTAATTATGCAGAGCACAAAGGCTCTCAAACTTCTATTTACATGCCAGCCCTGCTCTGTGAAATGTCATAGGTACACGCTTACTTTCATCCACCATAAATTCAAAAATAAGAATAGCTGTTTCTCTCCCACCCATTGGTGATTTGATACAATAACAGTGAATAGGATCATCAACCAAATTGGTACAGTGATTAAGGCACCAGGCTAGTAACCAGGAGACCATGAGTTCTAGTCCTGCCTTAGATAGGCATGAAAGCTGGTTGGGTGTCTTTGGGTCACTCACCCATCTCAGCCCAATCTACCTAACAAGGTTGTTGTTGTCGGGAAAAAACAGGAGAAAGGAACATTACATATGCCACCTTGAGTTGTTTATAAAAATAATAAACGCAGGATATAAATAAAATAAATGTATTTGATTTGGGTTCAGTAGTACAGAGACTAGTATGTACATGCCTAGTTTAACTTTTTGTTGTTGTTATTATTTAGTGTAAGATCAGAACATGACAGAAGAGAAGTAAACCCAATTTAATCCTTTATATTGTTGCAAAGGCATACTTTTCGGAGCTATGAAATGGGAGAAGAGCTCAAGTACAGCATACAGTTGAGTCAGTCCCAGAGAAATGTAAAATATGCATACCTATAGCTGAGTACTGTACTTCCTCAAGGCAAACTAACATAATAAGGCACTCCTCTTAGGCCTGAGTCACCTGTGCTGCTGCTAAGCTCAAAGCATACTCTTCTCACAGCACACATGGGTATCGGGTGCCTGAATGTGCCCTGTGCCCAACTCTTCACAAGCTCATGTGAACAGAAATGGCTCAAACACTAAGGCAAAGACCGTTAAAATGATAATGTCTCCTTCAAGTGGTTTCACCCTAAAGAACACGAGACCCAGTTTGGTATAGAGGTTCAAACACCAGGCTAAAAAACAGGAGACTGTGAACTCTAGTCCTACCGCCATAAAAGCCAGCTGGGTGACTTTGGGCCAGACACGCTCTCTCAGCCCAATTCATCTGACAGGGATGTTATTGTGGTAAAAAAACAGAAGGAGGAAGGTATATTTGCCTCCTCAAGTTATTTATAAAAACAATGTAGGCACGTTTCTAAATGTGTTATATAAATAAAATACATATACATGTATAAAACAATGAGAAAGTAAAAGCAGATACAAAAGCAGTGTGAACAGAGAGGAAAATGAAGAACTCCATAACCTCCTTTGTGTTTACTATGTGCTGTGCTTTTTGCCTTATCTCCACCTTGGCATAATTCTCCAAGCCTTAGAGAGAGAGAGAGAGGGTCTTCTTAGAAAGATCCTGTTTGACATAAAATCAGATCCCACTTATATTATAACTAGTTAAGGGAAAACCAACTCCCATCCCTCTCCTTAAGGGAGCGCAAACCACACCTAGATAAATATTGCCAAGTTATGTTCCCCTCAGCGAAAAGAAAGATTTCAGGCAGGCCAGGGCTCTGCCTTCAGGACACAGTGTGAGTATTTGCAAAGGATGTAGGAATGAAGACACACTTGGCCGACACTGGCTTTTCTCCTCCCCTCAGCCTTTGGCAGTAGCCTCTCTCTTAGGCCAAGCATTTTAAAAAGCATTTGGGATTAATCTGCAGTTTCAGCAGTGAGAGCACAGGAAGTTACCCCCACCCACCCCATCTCACATCACAGCCTACAGGAAATACTGAGACATCTGGATTATTTGCACATCTGGACACATACAAACACACACACACACACACTTTTAACAATAGCAGCTGCGCTAGGTACATTTAAGAAACTAGGCCTTCTGGGGAATCTCAATTGATGAAACTTTACATCCATTCACTTCTCAATTGTATTTTTTTTTTTTGAAGGAAGTGTTCTTTTTATAAAGGAACACATAAAATAATATAACCATAGAAGGAAGAAATTGCTCTGATTCCTGCTCATCTGCTATCCTCTCTCCACTGAGATTCAAGGCTATACAGAATAGTCTTAATAGTCATGTTCAGAAATTTAGGAGGATGTATCTATGGCTCTGTATATGCCAACGTTCTCCAACAACATTTCCACAATCATGTGGCCACCATGGCTATACACCAAAATCATACAAAATGCTGTTACCTTCCCACCGAAATAGTATCTATTTATCTACTCACATTTGCATGTTTTCGAACTACTAGGTGGGTAGGAGCTGGCTGGGGCAAGTAACAGGATCCCCAGGAACAGAAACGTGGCTCTTGAATCTTGACTGCCAGATGACAAGCTGGGCACCTTTAACCACTGAGCCATCACAATTTGTGTGTGTGTGTGTGCGTGTGCGTGTGTGTGTGCGCGTGTGTATTGGCACCTGACTCCTGAATAAAAAAAGAGTGCTCTGGCAATGAAGAGTTTTTCTTCTAATTCTATAAACTATGTACAATGTATCTCCAAATGCCATTTTCTTCTCTTAGTTTTCTCCTAAATAACAAATACACTGGAGGGGGGGGGGTGGAATCATTCCAATATGTTATCTATTTGTATTTCAACCACAGGTCTCAGAGCTTGAATTTTAAATATCTGGATTTTGAGTGCTGTTAGGCATTAATTCCTCCCTATAAAATATCTCAAATAGATTCTGACCACCAACACATACATTTTGTTCTGTTATTATTAAATCCAGGACAAACTTTGGCTCTTTAAAGGTGACTTCATGCAGCATCCAAACAAGAAGCACAATGTATTATCTAAGGTGTCCATTCAAAACCTGGAACTACAACCATCATCATTCCCCTTCAGAATCATCAATGCTAGTTAGGATGATGGGAACTGTAGCCTGAGCCCTAGCTATAGAAGATATATATGACACCTATCCACAGAGGAAGACAGGACTAAGATATGGGAGGGTAGCAGTGCGAACCTCACCTAAGAAAAGCAACAGAAATCATACGTGGTCAAACCTGGAAAGCAGGAGGAGGTAAGAAAAACAGAGGCAAATAAAGTGGGGTATCCAGGTTAGAAGAGAAGCAAATACAGATGCAGGCACTTTGTTTCAAATCAGTCCCATGGATAAAGAAAAAAATGGACAATGTCTCCTCATTCGTGACAGTATTCTAATTCAAAACATTTCCCGCTCAAGAAGTGTAGTAAAAATAGACTTCCTTTTGAGGAAGTGGCCAGTTTTGCAACCAGTGACAAGACACATTCTGTCTTCTTGAAGGGGATCAGACTCATAACACTGAGAAAGGCAGGGGTTGGGACCATGCATGAGTCCAAGGGAAACAGTTTTTCGATATATAATCTGAGCAGCCTTTTTCTCTAACAAAACTGCTCCTTTTCTCTCAGTGACTCACCTTGGTCATGATATTACACACTTGCAGTTCATGCAGCCTGGACCACTTTCATCTGGGGGATTCAATTTACGTAATTTGTGCTGCCGGATCTCTCGCACTAAAGTATAGAAGGCATCTTCGACTCCCTGCAACAAGTCAATGAAGTGTTTTGAACATCATGTAATTTGTGTGTATAAGCAAACGGAAAGGACATTTCCAAGAGTAGTTAAACATATGTTTTCTACTGCTGCTGAGTTCTGAATGCATTACTAGAGCTAAACTAGGATCTGGTTCAAAGACGTAGAAGCTGTCCTCCTTCTCCTCAAAATACGAAAAACAAAACCATGTAATTGTGAGCTGGTAGACGTTATAGAAATAACTGGCAGAATTGATAGATGTGACAACGGTGTGACTGTTTACCAAGTGTCCCTATTTTGAATCCAAACCATAGACCCAGAGTTGATTGTTTCAATTGGCACAAATACATGCACTTGGGCAGAACAGTTTGGACAAATGGCAGAGTATAGAATACCCCCATCACTGTTGGCTGAACAATTGCCTTTGTTACTGCTACTGACAACTGCTAAACCTGGTTACCTGCCAGTCATGTCCCAGCATCACCTTAATGGAACAAAGCCACTCTTAGTCCAAACTTGCTGAAATTTTCACTTTTGTTGCCTAGTGCTCAGGAACCATTAGCAGAAACTACACAACCTGCTCAATAATTACCAGCTGGAACCCTAGTAACCCAACAGTAAATACACATTATTGGCTAAATGGAGCTAAGGGCCAGCTCCAGCCCAGTTAAGTCAGGCAACCACAATAGGCTTATATAACCAGAGAAAGTAAGCTGAACAGCCATCTGTTTACACAATTCAGAAAGGTATGTAATTTCCTTGAAGGGGCATGAGTTGGACATTTTTCAGAAGGGATAGTCAGCAAAGGTGGAATTTAAACCAAGCTTTGGTAAGTTTCTTTGCTTTTTATTACTGCACAATTCAAATCCAGGGCCAACAATTCAATACAACAAAACTTCAGCTGGTTGCAGAAGCAATGCAGAGGAGCCAAAAAGTTTCCCTTGACTTACAAGGACAACAATGAAAAGTTCAACTTTTGGAACTTCTGGAAGATAGCTTGGTTTTCACCACAGAAACACCCTGAAGATTACATCTTGCAAGTATGGAGTAGATTCTTTTCTAGAGTGAAGGTAGAAAAAGTGAGTCTGCATTGTTTGCACTTTCCTCCCCCCCTCCACTCCAACCTCAGTATACCTGTCTAGTTTTGGCTGACGTCTCTATGTATGGAATCCCATAGCTCCGAGCCAGCTCCTGGGCTTGCCGTGTTTCCACAGTCCGGGCAGGAAGGTCACATTTATTCCCCACCAACACCATGGGCACATCATCGGAGTCCTTCACTCTCTTGATCTGCTCTCTGAAACACAGAAAACAAAACTGGGACAAATTAACGAAAGCCAACATTTCTATACATGGGCCATGATTTTTAAGAGCTTAATGGCATAAGAGTATGATAAATCTAACCCACAGAGAGGTCGAGTTGAGGCATTATCATCCCTTCATTGCCTTGCGTGCAATCATTGATGCGTTTGTCAGTACAGCTTTTAGGCCAAAATACACCACATTCCTCCTCTGTTTGCCTCAGAACCTAAGTACATGGGATTAGTCTCAATCCCTGCTTCATTCCTCCAGTAAAGCCAAATTCTCCAATTCAAGTAAACCAGGTAGGGAATTACTGAGGTCAGAGTGTTCACATTTAAGATTTGTTCATTGTTAAAAGACCAGTTTTCCTGTTCCTGGAAGAAGCTGGCATCTTAAAGAAAACACAGCTGATACAATCTAATTAAGCAGAGTATTCATTTATGCAGATAGGGAGGTGTTGGGGCAAATCCTGTAACAGGAAGAATTGGAAAGGCAGACTTTATAGGCATCAAGGCCACCAGCTGTCCTTCAGAATTTTTGCACATCAGGAACATAAAGCTCCCAGAAGATCATTGCAAAGGGAACAGAAAGGTAAGCTTTCAGGACAAATAAAAACGGGAGTATCCTAAAATTCTCATTTGTATCCCCAGGAATTTTGTTTTACTTTTGCAGGAGACTTTAAAAATTCCTTGCAAACCTTAAGACATCTCAGAGATATAATTTTGTTAATTTGCTACAGAAAAACAATAGCCCAGATTCCTATGGTACCTTAAGCACTGCTATCTTTCACAATTACATGAGGCAGAACGAATTTCAGATTGTGCAACTCCATGAACAGATTCAAACTATGAAAATATATACCCTGATGTATTTGTAACCCTACAAAAAGCTATTGTGTTTGAAACACCAAAAGCCTCAGAGTCTTATACAGAATCTCTCATACTAACTAGGCTTGCCATCACACTGTATGCAAAATCATGTGTAATCTGCAAATATGTGGCAGAGAAGGCAGAACAAAGATACCTGCTTGACAATGTAGCAAAAAGTCCTAAACTATCACTAACCTCAAAAGGAACAGCCACACGGGACAGAGAAGTTCTCTGATTTTCTACTCTTTATTTTAATAATGTTATCAAAAGTTTTAAAAAGAAGAAAAATAATACAAACTAAGGTCAGGAAGGAAGAAAAAAAAGAAAAAAGAAAGAAATCAAAGAGAAAGCTAAAATGCAAGAAAAGAAGAAAAAAGAAAAGAGAGAAAAGAAAGAAAAAAGATTTCCAGAAGTGGTTTCTGATCTTCTTTACTGCAGTTACAAGTACAATTATAAATTTACCTCTTTCTTTAAAATTACATGTCTGTCTTCTGTCTAATTATCAAATCCATAAATCACAACCTCACTTTTTAATGTTTTCCATAAAAAGTGCACAAGGGATTTCCAGTCAGCAATAAACAGTAACTGTCATTTCCCTAATAAAAGAAATCTATTTAAGCCATTTCAGCAAGTTTCACCACTTTCATTGGCCATTCCTCCACTGTGGGTAATACTGAATCTTTCCATCTTTGTGCATAAAACAATCTTGCTGCAGGTATCACATACAAAAAGAAAATTCCATGATTTTTTTCTCAACTGTTTATTCATCAGTCCCAAAAGACTGACCTCTGGCCTTAATTGTATATCAAACTTTAAAATCCCCTGAATCAGTCTATATATTTGAATCCAAAATTTTCTAGCTTTACACCACATCCACTAAGCATGATAAATTCCCCTTCTTGTTGTTCATGTGCATTTGAAATGCTCCGATTTTTTACTCTTAATTAACATTTCCCACAACAACTGATAACGACCAAACCTTCTATCCATCACAAGCAGCAGTGCAGGTCACAAAATAGCAGAAACTAGGTTGATGTAATCAACTGGTGGTTACTGATAATTTCCTGGTAATAGCTAATCTCTTTGTGGAAATTGATAGATTCTTAACATTGTGATTTCCCTGACAAAGCAAGTTCAGCAATTGCAACTTCTGAAAACATGTCAGTTAAGGGCTGCGGTTATCATAATTCAACCTTGACATTTCTAGCAGAATTTGCTGATCCAGAAGCTCTGAGTGTGGAAGATTTAATTTTTCCCCCTCTGCTATCACATAGTTCAAAAGTATTCCACCATAGGAGGGAGATCCTCCTTTCTTTCTTCCCTGAATCATGATCTCGTTAGCCATCTTTTTTTCAGTTCTACACATGCTGCTCCCAAGATGCTTTTATTGTAATGGGGGAGGGGGGAAGGTGTCCAGCTGTCTAACCTCATCACACAGAAGCAGCCCTGAGTCATGGCCCTTTTCCTCCTGCACCATAATCTGGACAGACACGCCATGTATCTTTGCTATTCTGTTTTTTTTCCTGGTCTCTTCTCTCTCATCATACCCACAATCATACCTTCTTTACAGATGACCTCCTCTTACAACAACATTTGAATTGAACAGTGATCAGGCCTCCCGGAACAAGGAATAGAGCACAAATCCTTTGTCGGAACTCAATTACAGCTTCAGCCAGCCTGGAATCCAGATCGCCAACCAACCTGGCTGCCTTACAGGTGCAGGGAAAGGTTCCCTTGTTCCCCAAGGAACAAGCCTGGCCTCTTTTACTCAAACGAGCCACCACTGGGCTCCTTGCTTCACAATAAGTGAAGCAAGGACCCAAGCGATAAGCACTCAGGCTTATCAGAGCCAATTAATTTCCATTAAGCTTGTAGATTTTCTAGGTGATTTGAGCAGTTTTTCTTCAAGGAAAGCTATGACTATAGGTAATTCTCCAATTACCACCATTCATTCAGTGATCGTGCCTACCTAAGGATAGCCCTGAACAAACGGTACTTAGGCCAAGTCTCTGAAGTTATGGCTGTTGTAGTGCCCCTCTGGTCATATGATCAAAATTTAGACACTTGTCAGCCCACCTACCACAGGGGCACTTCAACGCCCCCATCCGCCTGCTTCCGGGTGCCCTGCAAGCAGCAATCTTCAATGGCAGCAGCACTGGGGTTGAAACAGAGGCTCCAGGCCTTCATCAGTCTCAGTCATTTGCCACATACGCCTCCCCTCCGGAGCTCTACTTCAGCCCCAGTGCTGCTACAGTCCCAAGCACCTTCCCCCCCAACCTGCCTGTGCTCTGCTGGCCCTGCCGCCATGCAGTCACCGGCCCTGCGTTCACAAAAATGGATTGCGCAACTTGGATAATGGCACAAGCAGCCTCAGGGAGACGGTCTGGCACAGCCACACATAAATCCAGGTCAGGAGCATTTCAGCAGCAGCAGCAGGGTGGCAGCAAAAGTCACCTGGGGATGGTAGGGACAACAGAGCATAGGGTGGGAAGGACAGCAGAGGTGCTGGAGAACAGGGCAGCCAAAAGGGCAGAGATGTGGGGGGGAGAATAGATGGGAGGGGGAGTTGAAGAAGAGTCCTTACATTACCAAGGCTGGGGGCGAAGTGGGGGGAATAAGTTGGGAGTGGGATCGGGGTGAGTCCTTCCCTAACAATCTTTGGGATTCAGTTATCAATATCAATGGGGAGTGTCAGGATTGCCATCACTGAGTAATGCAGTCACGCAATGTCATGCTTTACAATCACATTATTTAATGACAGAAATGCTAGTCCCAATTACCATCGTCATTTGAGGAATACTTGTAACATACTTCTCCCCACTGGTGAAATGTAAAATTTGTTACTACCGGTTCTGTGAGCGTGGCTTGGGGGGGGGGGGGGGGTATGTGACTGGGTAGGTGTGGCCAACTTTTTTTTTTTACTTTTTTTAAAGCAATTTTTTACAATCTATTTGGGCGAATAGGTTGTAAAAAAATGCTTTTAAAAGGTTAAAAAAGGCTCTGACAATCGTGCGGCACAGCTGTGATCGTCAAGAGACTTTTTTTACCTTTTAAAAGTAGGAAGTAACGACACCCGGGTGGGTGGGCGGAGCCTTGCGCCACCATTGCTACCGGTTCTCCGAACCACCTGCCACAATCGCTACCGGATCACCTGATTCAGTCCGAATTGGGAGCATTTCACCCCTGCTTCTTCCTCATGTACAGTATGTAGATATTTTTCTCTTCTTAGCAGTGAGCCACAGAAAAACATATACTATTTGTTTTATTTAAGACTACTAAAATCCTATTATCAGGGTAAAGTAATGTGCATTCCCTGTCTTACTTGAGGAAATATATTTTGTATGCAGCAATTTGGGAATTCTGTATGACAGCTATCCCAATTGCACCCTAATTGCTCATAGGTGAAAACGGACTATTCAGAATGGCCATGTTGACTAAGTATGATGGGGAAAGAATTCACTAGAGAGCAGTACAGGAAAACAGATACAGGAAAAGAAAAACAGGCTCCCTCTGTAGGCCTCCAATGGAACACCCTTTTATTTTTTTACATTAATTTAGAAACACGGTGACGAACAGCAGAACTTAAATTCTTCCTACATCTTACCAAGGCTTTTTTTTTAAGACCCTTTGAGAATCCATCCTTTTCTGATAAACTTGCAGAGTTAGATCCCTCTGCGTTTTAATGATGTCTCCGAGGAATGGTATTCTTTTTTCGTACCCATGAATGCAATCGCCATTAAGCAACGAACAAACATGTTTCAGTACAAGATCTTTAAGAAGTCTAGAGGAATCAAGAAAGAAGTAGGATTCCTAACTAAAATGGAATGCATTACTAGGTGCAGGATTTTGTATCTGCTGAATTACATACAGGAAAGGAAGCTTGTGGATGTTCTGGTTTAGTCAGTCCTAAAACACAACCTATAGGAAAAATCAGGCACAGGAGAGGGGGATTGGGGGGGGGCATCTCTATTGACAGTGAAGATGGGTGGGGGCCATAGGATGTCAGCGCCCCTGGCACTCAGTTACTCGATTGATGACTTCTAAAAACAGCATCAGCAAAAGCGCACACATTGCTAGGAAAAATATTAGCAAAGCCTCAATCAACCTATCCATCTGTCTCTCTCTCTCTTTGCCCTTCACATGCAATCGATACAGGTTTCCTTCTCTTAACACGTACAGCACAGCACCCTTAATTAAGGACAAAAGGAACAAACAAGAGAGGATGCCTCCAGCTAGTCACAGCAAACATTTGAAGGCTCCCACCTTGGGACTTTTCCTGATTGACCAGCAATTTGCTTGGATGGCATCTCAGCAGAAATGCTGTTGGAAACTTTCTGCTTTGATCAGACCAAGAGGAGAGGCTTTTTATTTTTTTTAGGATGGGATGAAAAAAAGGGTTAGCCACGTATCCCCTTATTCCAGATGTCCGGAATAAAACAGGATACATACTGTCCTTCGCAGACAGTACAGGTGAAGGTTATTCTACTCACCTATATTGATGAATATCTTCAAAGGACTTGGTGTTGTTAATAGCGAAGACACAGAGGAAGCCTTCTCCTGTCCTCATGTATTGGTCTCGCATGGCACTGTATTCCTCTTGGCCAGCAGTGTCCAAGATGTCCAGTAAGCAGGTCTCCCCATCGATGACTACTTGCTTTCTGTACGAATCCTGCAGTCAGGAGAGAAGTAAGATTGATTAGGGGCGGTGTCAGCCATATTTGCTTATGGTTGTTATCCCTGACTGCTCCTCTTTTTGCTTCTCACAAACTTAGCTATTCACCATTCATTTCCCTTTTTGCAAGTTTTTGCACCATTGCCATCTCCTTGGTTCTGACGTTGCTGCTCTCTATTCCTGCAAGCCTCTCTTCTTTTCTTTCACATGCTTTGCTTCTTGACCACGTCTCAACTACCTTCTCCCCAGCCCATTCTCCCTTTCATTTGCATCCCCCATAGGTCTTTTCTGTGTCTCCCAATCTGCACCTGCTTTGTATAACATCCGTCTGCCTATAAATGTTCCTCTGGAGAATTCTGGCTTGGCACAGCCCTTTGGGAGGACAATATCAAAACAAACTAGTTGCTTATAATCCATAGTTCATACCCTGGGACGCATTACTCTGGGTTTGCTAGAGCCAGCAATCTGAACCACACCGAGAACCAGAGGCAAGGGTACACAAATTTTCGATGGCCAAGGAACCACTTTTATTCTGTCCCCCTCCAGTTATAATTGATAGAGGGCAGTAACATTTCAAAGACTTTTTTCTTTCCTGTTTTGAGGAAAATGGAGAGGTTGCACTCTCCACCTACATTTCTCAAGGTGCACTTCAGAGAAAGGATAAGTGTTCATACGACTGGTGTCAAAGCAGCAGCTTGTGTTTTAGAAGCGCCAGTATTCTCCCCTGACAGACAAGGTATGTCTTTTGACACCACGCTGTTCAGGCTTTGCAAACCTATTTTCTTTACTTTAGTTAGTATGTACTTATCCTTTTAAAAGTAGCTGTGCCAAAGGAGAATCACAGTCATCTTCTTTGACCTGTGCACATATAAGCCGGAGAGTAAATATGAACGTGAGCAAACACTGGGTGGAGTTCATGAGCAATATAACCATGTCTTCCCCACCTAGCCATAATATTGTCCACCAAGATAAAATTATTACTATGGGGGAAAAAAATCAGCATAGACCTATTTCTATTCTTCTGGGCTAGAAGTATTCTAATTCAAAAAGCTTTTCTCTATTCTTAAATAAAACATATACCCATATCACTTGCTTTACTTTTCATTTTAAAATTTTAACAGCATCTTTAATATTTAATGGTTTTTTCATTTCTAATAATTTATTTAAAAAATTAACTACAGGGGGTTTTTTTTCCAGATGTTCTAAGAAAATGAAATGGTGACATTCACTTTCTGAAAAAGAAGTTGTAAGTAAAAGGCTAAATACTGAAAGTCCAGAATTAAGAGACAAAAATGTAACCTGCCATTGTAAAATGTTAAAAATGTTAACTACACACAAATCTCACTTGGCTTTTTTTAAAATTAAAAATACCTAATCATTACAATTCTCAATAGGGGGATTTTCTCAATGCCTTACTTTAATTTTTACTACATATTTCCTAGCAAAGCATGTAAAACACCTAATCATAGTGTCCCCTGTCTCTAACATATGCTTTTTCCTCTGGGTCTTTTCTCTATATTATGTTGCTATTCATCCACTTTGCATCAACAGAAAACTATTGGTGTGAAGCATCCCTACTGATGATCCTTTCTATTTCCAAGCTCGGTTACCTGATTTCCCTCCCATGTAGTGTGTTTTAGATTTTATCCACCCTGAGGAATCCTTTAGATTGTGCTGGAATAAAAGAAAAAATACCCTTCAAGACTGGTGCAATTAAGGACAGCTTAAGCCTAGCTTATTTATGAGCTGGGAATGAGATGAAGACAATGTCACAATGACACTCTCTTTGACTGCCAGCATGGTCTACTTTATGCACGCTGCCTATTTCCCTAAACTTGAATCCCCCGTGGGAATAATGCAAAGTGTAATCCAACCTTCCATTTTGTTCGTGTGAATTTTCATTGGGTTTCACCTGCAACAATGCTGTCCTGCGGAATTTGCTACTTAACTTGCTTGAAAAAAAGATCTTAAATATCTTAATTGTTCAATACATCTTACACAAGTTAACTTCAGTGCTTTAGCAACGAGTACAACCCTGGCCTGCTTTAGAAATGCATTGAAAACCTGTTTTTCCAATGAGCCTTGGGCTGAGGTGTTTTGTGAATTGGAGCAATGACTGATGAGGGTTGGCTGAAACTGAGCTTTATATGCTTCCCCCACTGCATGATATCATTGCCATACTTTTTGCATTTTGACTGTTTGCACTGTGTTTTAAATGTAAGTTCAGGGGTGAAATGCTACCGGTTTGCTCCAGTTCGGGCGAATCGGTAGTGATAAAAACTACCAATTCAGGTGAACCAGTAGTAAAAAAAAGCTACCGGTTTGCTGGAACCGGTAGTTAAAAATAGTTACCCATTCATCCGAACCGGTATTTCTGACGATCAGCTGTGCTGCGCGGTTTAGCTTCACTAGAAAGCAGGAAATTCTGCTGTTCCTCTTCCCCTCGCTGTTCTACTTACCTATGAAGTCTTCTTTTTCCAGGCAAAGCACATTTGGTGCGCATTGCGCATGTGCATATAGTGTACTTTTGGTGCACGCTGCGCCTGTGTGCATGCAGCACGCATTTGGCGTGCACCACGCATGCGTGGGAAGCGAACCAGTGGTGATCCAAGGAGGATTTCACCACTATGTAAGTTGCCTTAGTCTTTCTGATCTGGCAACAATGTAGGGCAACTACACAACCAAATGAATGGCTGTGGCGGGGATAAAATGAGAGCCCCATTAGATCATCTTGACCTTCCAGAAGAAGTCAAGCGTTCCGATGTTATTACAAACGATTGTTTAAAAGAACAAAATGAAACCCTAGTGCCATCTTTGCATGCTACTCCTCAACATCATCCCAAGGAGGAGAATAAAATGTCCCGTTCTCATTGTAATTTAACCACAATTTAGAATTATTAATTCATCTTCCTTCAGATGACATGTCAAATGAAGGTTAATGTAAAACAGAAGGAAAAATGTCAAGGTTCTTGGAATTTGATGAGGAACACAATGTAGGCAAACTCAAGGATCCCTCTGGTTTGATTTTGTCAAACTTGTATTATAGTACTGTACACCATATTATACAAAAAGTTGCTACTGTTCTTATGTTAAAAAACAAACAGGCCAAGGGCCAGGGACAATAAATGACTTCTAAGAAAACTGTTAAGAACTGACCTCCAAGTTCCTTTTAGAAACAGAAAGCAGGAAACTTTTGTAATCCATATGGCTTAAATCCAAGAGCTAAAAATACTTTAGATTTCAAATATACTTTTCTGTAGCCTATTCAAAACTGAGATCTTTTATCTAGGCACACTGGAACTACAATAACCAGAGTTCCCATGGATTTGTAGTACCCCTTGGTAAACAAATTCCAAAGGAGAATCTGGGACACAGAACAACGGAGCTGCTGCTCAGTTGGATACTGTTTTTAAGATGACTACTACCTGATTCTTTTATGGGGAAAAGGCATTTTATGTCTCTATCAATCATGTATTAGCAACCTCTCTTTATCGCTTGGCAGAGGAATGATAAAAATGGTTGCCCTGTATCCACCTTCGTTTACAGTGCTGCCTGCTTCTCTGTGGTTTGCTGTAGAAGGAATATGAAGTGGCCAAGCAAATTTGGTTCCATTTTCCTCAAAAAAACAAATAGCAAATTCTCAGTCACATGTACTTCCGTTACACATCAAAAACTTAGGTGTGATATTTGAAAGCATCAAAATTAATATGGCAAGAACAGATCTAAAAAAGAGATATCATTTGTATATCAAAGACATTTATTAGATAAGCATGATGAATAATGACATAAGATGGTGTGGGCCAATATTTTTTTCTAAGACGAATCTAGACAGAGGAAATATTGAATATTAAAAAAAAACAAATTGCATCCAAGGGGAATTCTGTGAAGCAGTCTGGTGGAGACAACAGTGGCATTAGAACTATTTTTTATTTATGTATGAGATTTAGAGGCTCCAAAGTGACTTTGAGTGGCTTACATCAAATAAGAACAATCAAAAATAATTGGGGAAAGTTGGGGTTTGATATCTGGAAACATCCCCATACTGGCAAACAGAAGAATGGAGTGGGGGGATGAGTGCCCCAAATTTCGCAATTAAATATATATTAAGTCAAGGTAAGGACTTCCATTAACAACTGAATGTATCTGTGAAGCTACTTCCCAGCTTCTACAGATATACTCACATTTGGTTCATTGTCAGTTAATGACAGTATGTGAACATTTTAACAATAGATCAAATATAAATGTCACAGAGGATTTTTCAATTAAAGCAGCCTATGTGTGTAGCTTTCAATCATTTAGAAACAAAAACTGCAAGGGCAGCTATTAGCCTTTAAAAGACTCAAGTGAATATTTTAAAACTTTTCATCTCATACAAAGGGATTAAAAAATAGATCACTAGAAAACAGTCCATTTTTTTTTCTTTAGTTATTAAATAAATTCTTGGGTCTCTTGCCATGCATCTGAAACACTGATTCATCCAATGCATGATACAATAATTCCCAGATATGCCTCATTAGCAGATCATCAATTTATAGGAGACAGCCTCATTTCTCAGTTATATACAGATAGTCCTCGACTTATAACAGTTCATTTAGTGACCGTTCAAAGTTACAATGACACGGAAAAAAGTGACTTATAACCGGTTTTCACACAACCGTTGCAGCATCCCCAGGGTCATGTGATCAAAATTCAAATGCTTGGCAACTGACTCATATTTATGACGGCTGCAGTGTCCTGGGATCGTGTGATCACCTTTTGTGACCTTCTGATGAGCGAAGCCAATAGATTCACTTAACAACCGTGTTATTAACTTAACATCTACAGTGATTCTTTTAACAACTGTAGCAAGCAAGGTTGTAAAATGGGGCAAAACTCACTTAACAAATGTCTCTCTTAGTAAGAGAAATTTTGGGCTCAATTGTGGTCATATGTCGAGGATTACCTGTATGCATTCTTATTTATATCAGCTTGTAAATTTGAAAAACGGGAAAGTTTTA